TATATCACTACCATTGCGTTATTATGAACATCTCTGATAATGTGAACAGTTTGCGCCAAAGGTATTTTTCATTAATTCGACTCGTCAAAAAATCACTACCAAATTTCGACGTTCGTAAAAAGAGCGTTTTATACATTCTACAGCCTAATTTTGAATATTTGACTTTTTAAAACAACACACAATCGCATCATTCTATCTGGGTGAATATAGCAAAGGAGACCACTCGCAAAATCAGGCTCCAAATGAAAGCTCTTGAGTGCTGCGTGTAGAGAACAACATGCTTACCCCTTTGGCGAATACCCGATGTCATCAGAGTATAACAGTGATATATAAATCACATACTGATGATGTACAGGGAATCACACAGTGGACTCCTGTCGGGGTTTTATACCACACGTGACCGCCTTCGTGGTGTAGTGGTTAGAGCGTCCGCCCGGAGTGCGGAAGGTCGCGGGTTCGATCCCCGACCGCGCCATACCATAAGACGTTAAAATATGGTACTTGTTGGTCCCTGCCTGACGCTCGGCATTAATGGGTACAACAAGGACTGGTCGGCTCGGAGTCAGTATAATGTGTCTGAGTGGGGTGGTCATGCTTCACTGCGGCATGGTATCTCAGTGGGCTAGCACTATCAAACCAGCTTAAGTCTGGGCTAGTACAAGCAGCCGCACATACACATACACACGCATGCACGTCGTCATATGAGCGAAATATTCTCAAGTACGACGTAAAACCTAATTTCACCTCACCTCACCTTTATACCACACGTGAACCCAATACGAACAAAGTGTTCATTGTTGAATAAAGTTGTATTCAATTCGGACAGTAATATTGGTTAGTGTATTAAATCGAACATTTAAAGGATTTTTAAAACGGTCACTGCACATGGTTTATAGTCGCTCTTAATGAGCCCCTAGGTATATATAATATACACAAAATACAGTTAGAAACGGTAATATTTCATTATGCAACTTGTATATTAGGAACCTCAAACGCAACTCCCTCGAAAGCATTTCGCGATTTTTTTAAGCTAAGTCATCAACCTGTCCTCAAATCTCTTCATTGGCTACGTGTAGGAGAGAGGATACAGTTCAAAATTCTGACATCTGCTCCATACCTACAAACTTTAACATCTGTCTACCAGCCTACGCGAAGCCTACGTGAAGCCTACGCGAAGCTGATCAGTTCCTCCTTTGTGATCCTTCCTACAAGTTAAAATCATTTGGTGCCAGAACTTTTAAATATGAGTCAGCTGTACTTTGGAACTCTCTTCCCTAGGATCTGAGATGCTCTCCCTCACTTGACGTTTTTAAAGCTCATCTCAAGACCTGGGCCTAGATTTTCGAAGCTCCTTTAGCGCTAAGATAGTCGTAACTGCCATACATTAACATTAACTTACGATGATCTTAGCGCTAAGAGAGCTTAGAAAATTTAGGCCCTGTCTCTTTGGGAGATATTAAAATTGACTTGAACTGTTGTATGGGCTTAGGACATGCCCATGAGGTGTGGAGATCAGCGCTATACAAATGTCCTTATCATTATGATTATTATTGTTACGCAAGTTAATGAGGTACGCGGTCACGGTGTATATCTCTATTATACACATACCGAGTGGATAATTACGCTTTTAATGTATGGCTGACGTCACATCATCCGCATCACTCTCCTGCAGCAGTATCAGGCTGAACGACATACACGCGGTTGATCTATGAGGTCGGCAAGAGTAAGAGATTCGGCGAGTTCTGATGAAGAAGATGAAGGTTTGTCCGTTTATAATTTGTTGTATTTTACAGACATTATAATTCAGAGATGACGAATAGTTTCATATTACCCTTGAATTTAATTACTTACAAAAAGAAGGTTTATCCTACAAATTGCAACGTGATGTGTTATGCGCAATATAAAACACTAGGCACATTCTTTAGCATATGCTTTTGAACACAAGGTGTTTACTGATATTCTGGTATAATAAAACAAACGGGTTTATCCTATAAACTGCATCGTGAAGTGATATGTGCAATATAAAACACTAGGCACATTCTTTAGCATATGCTTTTGAACACAAGGTGTTTACTGATATTCTGGTATAATAAAACAAAACGGGTTTATCCTATAAACTGCATCGTGAAGTGATATGTGCAATATAAAACACTAGGCACATTCTTTAGCATATGTTTTAGACAGATATAGTGTTTACTGACATTCGGGTATGATTATAACATTTAATATAATGTCAACGCGTGGTATACGCGTCAACTGGGGAATTAGCTCATAATTAAGATGAAGTGTGCGTTGATGAAGACGAAGGCATAGTTGAGTTCAAACGTCTTTAGTACATGACAAACAAATACACAAGACATGAGCGAGATGAGCGGTGTACCTGCTCAACCCCAGGGCGTTTCCTACGAGCGGCATCATCCTGCTCGTGGTCGTCCCAACTCTAGATGTGAGCATACTAAGTATGTATACAGTTTTTGACAACAATGGACTGGCGACGACTCATCAATGGACAGACAGAAAAACAATAGCACTTCCGTGACCAGTTGATGTGATGGCAGACACGGCCAAGGGGGATTACCAATGAAGGTTATAAATGTCTTATACAATAATTAATGGGCTGACAAGTCAATTTACAATGCGGTAGTGATAAGGATGTACAGTAGTGATTAAATATACAGCTTAGCGTCATACATATATTACAATAAAGTCTCACATGTCTTGAGTACATAGTTTTGGACTTTTTAAATATTTGGACGATGGCTGTCCTGAATTAGTCCCTATAACAATAATACCAACTGATCTCTGACATCAACATGCGATAGTATATTGTGTTATGTGGGCTGCATACAAGTGTAGATTATGCTCCAGACTTGGGGAAGAATTAGGAAACGTGCATTGTCATATTGAAAGATGAAACGTTGCCGAACTGGTGAACCAGTCATGCAATGATGTTCCCTGATAGTATATTCCTGTGGCTCAGCTCAGTTCGACGAGTCATTGTGAAGCCATCCATATCATTGTAGACTCACATCGTGCTGTAACCTGCAATATATACCAGCAACATAGTCCATGTGCATACTATGTATATAGAAACCGCTTGATACATCAAGTGTAACGGCATATTCATGCCGCTAGCTACTACTACTGTCTATTTTTGTTTATTGAACACATGTGACGCTTGTCTACGAACAATGCGCTTTGAATAAATTATCTAGTAATTGCCTCACTGTACCACTATACAATAAATTGGATTTTAATATTACACTTTTCAAAAAAAAAGAAACGCATAGGCAAAAATAAGGAAATGTATTAAACCTATTTGAGTGTACATGTCGATTAAGCTTGAACATAGATGAGGGAAATTCGACACACGGATGAACGTATATATTGTTGTCATTGTCAGCATTAATTCAGTTCACTCACTGTACATGTGTGGACACAAGGGGCGTTCAGGTCAATACCTGGTGACACCACCCCGTGTAGCCGTCACTGCTCACCTTGGAACGGATTGAACAAGTCGTCGCATATTTTTCTTTGGGAATTCTTTGCAATTCCTCCTGCAATGCCTTGGCAAGTTCTGCAAGTGTCTGGGGACGATAGTGACATTGACGTTTGCACTTGCGAGACAGGCACCTGTTACACCAGCTCTGGGGTCCTGGGTTGTCGTGTTTAAACAACTCCCTCTGGCGGTTAAAAATGTGAGGAGGGGAGGTCGCAGGATTTGGTCGATGTAGCGATTTGCTTAAGGTTGCCTTGAACCACCACTAGCTCTGGTCTACCCGTGGCTCCCCACACCATGACGCTTTCTCCACTAAATCTGTCCACCTGTCGAACGCAGTTGGGGACAAAACGTTCGTGTTGAACCAAACTCGTTCCATGTTTTCCCCAGGTTCCATGTCTGTGCCCTGTTGCACGACTGGACACGTCGTTGTCGGTGTAGTCGTGTCAGGACATGTCCAACTTTTGGTCGATATGCTCGAATTCCCACTTCTCTCAGGCGAATTCGACCCGTGAAGATCCGGGGTAGAACAGGTCTTCAGCAACCCATTCTTGTCATAAAAGGCGACTATGCTTGTCGTAAAAGGCGACTAACGGGATCGGGTGGTCAGGCTCGCTGACTTGGTTGACACATGTCATCGGTTCCCAATTGCGCAGATCGATGCTCATGCTGTTGATCACTGGATTGTCTGGTCCAGACTCGGTTATTTACAGACCGCCACCATATAGCTGGAATATTGCCGAGTGCGTCGTAAAACTATACTCACTCACACACTCACTCAGGCGAATTCTGATGGTTTGGTCTGAAATCCTTCGAAGACCAGACACCTGTGCTGCAGTGTCTGTTGCTGTAGCGAATCTTCCACGTTTGTGACGATCTTGGGTCGGATTGAAGCGGGTATATCGATGTCATAATCGAGAAACGGGGCTGTGGTGGACGTTGAAGTGTCTTGCAACGGCAAACTGGGACCTTGGGAATTGTCTTAATGACAATTTCTGTCAAAATATATCGAAATGAACTGCTGAAAACGCCTATGCGTTTCTTTTTTTTAAAGAGTGTATAACGGAAGCATTTAAATATGTCGACTCAATTTTACATATTGAGAGGATATTACAATATGTAACATCTGCAATAGCTTCAACAAAACAAATATAATATTCAGTTAAATTGTCCATGGAATATATAAAGATCGAATATATGAATACATAACCTGGAATACGTGTGTGAGAGAGAGGGGGGAGAATGGGAGGGGGAAAAGAGAAAGAGAGGGAGGGGAAAAGAAAGAGAGAGGAAGAGAGCGAGTGAGTGACAGTTTATATACGCATAACCTGGAATATGTCTGACAGAGAGGCGAAGGAGAGGGGAAAGTGAGAAAGAGAGAGAGAGAGTGGAAAAGAAAGAGAGATGAAGTGATTGAGTGAGTGACAGTTTATGTACGCATAACCTGGAATATGTGTGTGAGAGACAGAGAGGAGGAGAGGGGAAAGAGAGAAAGACAGAGATGGAAAAAGAAAGAGAGGAAGAGAGGGAGTCAGTGACAGTTTATATACAACCTGGAGATGGAGAGAAGAAGAAGAGAGAGAGGAAAAAAAAAGGAGTGAGTCAGTGACAGTTTATATACGCATAACCTGGAATATGTGAGAGACAGAGAGGAGAAGGGGAGGGGAAAGAGAGAGAGGGGGGAGAAAGAAAAAGGAAGAGAGTGAATGATTGACCGTTTATATACACATAACCTGTAGTATGTGTGAGAGACAGAGAGGAGAAGGAGAGGGAAAAGAGAGAAAGAGTGAGAGGAAAAAGAAAGAGAGAGGGAGAGAGTGAGTGACAGTTTATATACGCAAGTTGTGTTTGAAGAATGGCAACACCGGCACGGCATTGCTTTTACTGTGTCGTTTTGTTCCTTCCTTGCGGAATAAAGGAATAAGCAACATGACATTTACATGGAACACCTGGTGTTAAGGATGCTCGGGAGTACATCTGTTTGACTGTTTGACCTCCTCTGTATGTCCATGATAAGGAGCGTGAACACCAAAACTCTTTAATGATGATGATGATGATGATGCTGCTGACTGCTGCTGCTGATGATGATGATGATGATGATGATGGTGGTGGTGGTGGTGGTGGTGATGATGATGATGATGATGATGATGATGATGATGATGATGATGATGATGATGATGATGATGATGATGATGGTGGTGATGATGATGGTGGTGATGATGATAATGACGATGTGGTTTAATATTAAATTGATTATCGAAATTAATGGTATTTGTGTAAAGCAGAAGAAACCACTCCGGCATCATTTCGGTGTCTGCGATCTAACAGCTGGAAGTTCTCTAAGGCTTACAAGGATGAACTGAGGGCGATGCTTACATTGGCCTGGCCTGTGGTAAGTTACGCAATGACACAAAAATATCCCAGCTGAAAACGTTATGACTGTTAATCATCAGTCTCATTCTTAAAACTGATTCCTTAAGACAAACAGGTACATATTGATAATGATGCTAGTAGATATAATGTGAAGAATCAATGGAAAACAGTGATGTTTGGCGATATTTACTGTGAGGACAAAGACATGACCAATACCAAACCTTGAGTGAGTGAGTGAGAGAGTGTAGTCTTACGCCGCACTCAGCAATATTCCAGCTATATGGCGGCGGTCTGTAAATAATGGACCAGACCATCCAGTGATCAACAGCATGAGCATCGATCTGCGCAATTGGGAACCGATGTTAACCAAGTCAGTGAGCCTGACCACCCGATCCCATTAGTCGCCTCTTATGACAAGCATGGGTTACTGAAGATCAACATTCTAACCCGGAACTTCACGGGTCACCAAACCTTGATCAGTTGTGCCTTTATTGCAACGTTGTACATTTATCGAATTATCTTATTATTCTTGTGCTTCCTCAGAATATCATATAAATGTTTCTATACAACACATCTTTTAAAAGGGATAATCAGACAGGTCATTCTATTTCAATATACATTTGATATATTTCAAGAATCATTTCTGAGTATCATGGACAGAAAATCATTATCCCATCAAAAGTTCGATGCTAAATGCACTGGAGCTTGGGGTAGCGGTTAACATCACTGTGCTTTGAGTTTAAGAACTTATAGCAAGTCATTTGAAAAGAACTCCCGGTCTTGACATTCCTCAGAAATGGATTCCATACCCAGTTACAAGTTCATTTATCCAAGTTTCTCTTTTGATATTACACAGACCGTGTCTGCATTACTCGAACAATTTGTCTTCACCATTAACGCCATGTTTACCGGTCACCTGGGCAGGCTTCAACTGGACGCTACAGCGCTCGGACAGGCTGTAAGTTGTGACATATACTGAGATTATTAGCCGAATGTGTTTGAGTATCGTAAAGGTCATGTAGTAGTAACGTAATTACGCGAACCATTTGCAGATCATTATATGCATTGATTATTCCTGGGGCTAATGGTCGGTCAGACCCGGGTTCAAGTCCCCACATGGGTACAATGTCTGAAGCCCATTTCTGGTGTCCCCCGCCGTGATATTGCTGGAATATTGCTAAAAGTGGCGTAACACCGTACTCACTCATTCACAGATTATTCCTAATTTGTTACAGTTACGATACAGAAATGAACTGAGGTAACAATCACTAAATAAAAAAAACCCCTGAAGTTTAAGACCCATTTCCACTGTCTGTAGTGACCTTGGAAACCGCATTAGAGAATATTGCAAGGTCACATAAGCAGCTTTGTCAAATTCCCTGTAGAACTGGAGACAACGGATATCATACCACCGGGGAGTCAGAGAAACTACCGTTGCGTACGACAACAGAGAAAACAGTCCAACGAACTATGGAATAAATATACCACGAACGGACAATTTTCTGTCCTACTTTACCTCTTATCAAATGTTTGTTTGCGTGTTTGTTTATTGTTTTACGCCGCACTCAACAATATATGACGACGGTCTGTAAATAACCGAGTGATTGGCATCATGAGCATCGATCTATGTAATTGGGTGCCGCCATTTTTTTAAACGGTGAGCCTTAAGCATCGGGAAGATTTTCACATTATTCAAAGTGAATGAGTTTAGTTTTACGTCGCTTTTAGCAATTTTCCAGCAATATCACGTCGGATGACACCAAAATGAGCTTTACACGAGCGGGGAATCGAACATGGCTTTCGGTTTGACGAGCGAACGCTTTAACCACTAGCTTAACCCACCAACATAACAATATTTATAACCGTAAGCAATACTTTAATGAGCGGTTTAACCAAGAAACTGTATTTCTAACAGAGCATGACTTTGTTGTATACTTTTAAAATGAGCATAATGGAATTTATCTGACAGAGTAATATACGTTTTTATGGTTATTGTCCTATAACAAAACCCAGGATGTTTCTATATATATGTGAACCTATACCATCTGAAAAGTACATATATATTCGCCTTATTCCTGCAGGTTTTCGAGGTGTTTGGGTCTTCAATAATGGTCGGTATTAACACAGCTTGTGACACGCTGTTTTCACAGGTAGATATGCGGACAAATTACTTTTCAAATTTCATAGAGCATAAACAAATCACATTAGGTGTCTGAATAAACGGTTTGTAGTGACGAACGTGTGGATTAATTATTAACGCGTTCGTGAAAAGATAACAACGATGTGAATGTATATCATTTTTCATTTCGTTGCATTTTGCGTTCCCAGTTTCAGGTACACTACACAATACAAAGTAGAAAGGGAGAGAAGCCTGCAACAGAACGGCGTGGGGGTTGGGGGTTAGGACAGGTGGGGACGTTTGACAGAGACAGGGCGTGTTTATGGTGGTTGCGTCAGAATTAGGATCTCTAAAAAGACGAACAGAACAATTCCATTTCCTAAAACGTACTTTTCGGAATATCCAAGAAATTTCTTGTTGGTAAACTCTGAATCCAGATCTTTTCACTTCTCCACTTTATCGATAAAATTGAAATAGTCAATCTTTTAGCATGTGTGAAAAATATACTATTATAAATGTTTGGTTTCAGACATATGGTAGTACCAACAAAAAGAACCTTGGGATTTTGCTCCAAAGAGGTTGGTATAGTAACTGATAAAAACAATTGGTTTCATTCACTGAATATGACAATGTCACAGTAATTAAAAAGGATATGTGAATAAGAAGAATTTTCTTTAGATATTACACACTAGACGTATGCATCTACGACAGGGAAACTGTATGAGTGATTATGAGTGAGTGAGTGTGTATGGTTTTACGCCGCTTTTAAAAATTGTCCAGCGATATCGCGACGGGGGACACAATATATGGGCTTCACACATGTGGAGAATGGAACTCGGGTCTTGCGCGTAACGAGCGAACGCTTTAACCACTAGGCCACCGCTCCGTATTGATTATGAACGCCATTTGATGTCAAATAGCATGGACAATGACGTATCCAAGTGTGCCTCGTCTATCTTTTGAATGAAAAGTGATGTTCTAAGTGGTGTATTTGTCTCATTCCAGCACTACTGCTCAACATGCTGGCGTGTATTCCCTGTATCTCCCTCTACATGAACGTCGAACGTATACTGTTGGCTGTTGGACAAAACCCAGACGTATCCAGGTAAACATTGGTTCCTGTAGTTCGAATACTTAGTCCAGTAATGTTTCGATGCTAAGGACCTAGAGGTTTGGTTGAATGCTCTGTATCCTCGACCTCAGGAATTCCCCCGGACCATGCTCGAGATATTTAATTCTAACTTTGAACCATCTGAAAATTCCAGGAAAAAACAATAAATAAATACATCGGGACGCCTTATAATGATGCTATACAGTAAGGGTGGTATAAAACGAATTCGAGTCTGGACCACACAATCCAGTGACGCAATTGCTCTTCCCAGTTGGAGTACGATGACATGTGTCAACCGAGTCAGCGAGCCTGACCACCCGATCCCTTCAGTCGCCTCTTACGACAAGCAAGGAATACTGAAGATCAATTCTAACCCGTATACTTTGCTTGAACAAATTACTTTAAGCCGTGCCACAGAAATGACACAATATACACTCAAATAATTTCAGGCATTGGCATAGGTATGGCAACAACTACATTCAAAAAGGAGGCGGTGGGGTAGCCTAATGGTTAAAGCGTCCGCTCATCACGCTGAGGACCCGGGTTCGATTCCCGACATGGGCACAATGTGTGAAGCCCATTTCTGGTGTCCCCCGCCGTGATATTGCTGGAATATTGCTAAAAGCGGCGTAAAGACATACTCACTCACTCACATTCAAATAGGTATACACCAATATGGTAAATAATCTGGTCATGGGGATAATATTCCATATAGCTGGAATATTGCTGGGTGCGGCGTAAAACTAAACTTACTCATGGGGATAGCTTAATATACACTCAAATGAGAACTAACATTGAATTATAGTTTACGGTAACTACTCGTGCAGAGGTGTGGAAAAATAGATTTCTAAAAGGCTTAGAAACATCACATTACAGCATTATATCAACAAGTTTTAACGGTGGGCATCAAGTGTGTCAAAGTGACACGATAGAAAGGATATAATAATTATGCTTCTGTGGTGTAAAACTTGCCGCTCTCGTGTCTTTGGTGCGTGAAACGCATTTAAGCCACATCAGTGAAAGCCATTGATAATGCATCAGAGCTAATTTACACACAAATTACATTCGTTTTTGATGTATGGCAACAGGTGGAATATGTAAGTTAATGAGGGGAGCCCGGCTTCGTTTATTGCGATATGGCAATGTTAATACATACCTTAAAGGACATAGCCAACATAAACTATTAAAACTGTGGGGGGTTGTCATGTATTCTGTTTCTGCCGATCTGTCATAGTCAGCAAAATGTTTGAGCTCGATCTCGCACAGACTTGTGTCGGATCAATCGATCTTGCATTAGCTTGAGCTCTATCTCGCATAGCCTTGTGTCGGATCAATCGATCTTGCATTAGCTTGAGCTCTATCTCGCATAGCCTTGTGTCGGATCAATCGATCTTGCATTAGCTTGTGCTCTATCTCGCACAGCTTTGTGTCGGATCAATCGATCTTGCATTAGCTTGAGCTCTATCTCGCACAGCTTTGTGTCGGATCAATCGATCTTACAATAGTCTGAGCTCGATCTCGCACAGCCTTGTGTCGGATCAATCGATCTTGCAATAGTCTGAGCTCGATCTCGCACAGCCTTGTGTCGGATCAATCGATCTTGCAATAGTTTAGGATGCTGTTGCATACATAGGCCCTCGTGTCTTTGAGAGGATTAAAGACTAAAAAATAATAATTTGAGATGACCCAAGAAGACCGAAATGCTTCACAGTAGAAAAGGTCTTGATTTATTGTACTGTGAAGCATTTCGAGTCGGGTGTCATCTCAAATAAAAAAAATAAATCTTTAATCCTTGCAGAGACGCGAGGGCCCGTGGTTGCATAGTCTAGTAACCACACTGTGAAATGTTGACCGCATTCGCCACTGCGACGTCTGCTGGTTTCCAGCATGTCAAAAGCAAATAGCAGTAGCAGACGCCGAATCATTAGTTCACACACAATGAATGTAATCAATTAGTACTTTATAGTAAGCAGAACAATATCATTGACAGAAATAGTGTTCAGCGGGACCACATATGATATTCTTTAAAAAAAAGTAGGGGAGCTTCATTTTTAATCTACGTTTGAAAAAAAATGGAAGATATTTCGGAGTCAATAAATGTTGATATGATAATAATGGATATTTGAGAGTGCATCACCACTTGCACTTCTTTATGACTATAGTTGTTTGTACAGTAATCCCTCTTGAAAGACGATTGGTGTATGACGTGAAATTTGCATGTGAACGATTTTCATTTTCAACCAAAACAAACACGAGAGGAAACAAACTCTAACAACTGTGTGATGCAAGATGATTATCAAAATTAATGGTCTACAGTGATTTATCGACCCTCTTGAAAACCATCAAAACCAAGAATGACACTCTATGCACGTGAATGGGGCTACTGCGTTGGGTATTCCATGCGTTGTGTTTAGGGGTGGTGATAAAGAGAAATGGTGGTGCGTTCATAACATGTCTTTGGAAAGTTTGTTAAAGCCTGTACTTCCTATACAAATTGAAAGTTCAGGTTCCCCTACTTTTTTTGAAGAGTATATATAGCATTAGATGTTTAACGTGAGTTTTATTATAATGCAGAACGCCAGAAAATAACCTCTCGTGCCGAAAAAGATACCTTTGGGTTTAAAAGGAAAATTGCGGGGAAATTACATGAATGGATCACTGTCAATTTTGACACCGGGTCTCCGCGTGTAACATGGTGTAGGTGTCATGATAGTACTATTACTGACACAGACTCGAACCCGCCGCGGTTCACTCGTCAAGTTGAAGATCCGGGTTCAATTCCTCACATAAGTACAATGAGTGAAACCCATTTCTCATGTTTTCTGCCGGAATATTGCTAAAAGCGGCGTAAAACTGAACTCACTCAACAGTTTCGAACTCTGATATCTCACTTCAGTTTCACGACAAGATGATGTATTTTACTTTGTATTATTTCAGACTGTCGGGAGAGTATATAACAGCCTGTATACCAGCATTACCGGTCAGTTCCACTTCACTGCTGATTACTAAGTATAGTAATGTTGCTGTAAAAGACACCTTAACGACATCCTTGTAAATGAGTGAGTGAGTTTAGGTTTACGCCACACTCAGCAATATTCCAGCTATATGGCGGCGGTCTGTAAATAATCGAGTCTGGACCAGACAATCTAGTGATCAACAGCATGAGCATCGATCTACGCATCGATCTGGAATACGATGACATGTGTCAGCTAAGTTTGCGAGCCTGACCACCCAATCACGTTAGTCGCCTCTTACGACAAGCATGGGTTACTGAAGATCAATTCTAACCCGGATCTTCACGTACCCTACCAATGGGAGCCGAGACACGTCAGTGAAGACCATACTGTTCCTTCTGGTTGAATCTAGTATGTCTGCGACCTGTCCTAAGCGTGGAACACGATGCAATTGCAGCAGGATAGGTCCTGTGTTTGTCCGCCTTGCTCAGATACCAGGCGCGTAGCAAGCCATTTTTTTCGTGTAAACCCGATGACAACGGTACAAGAATCTGTACCGAAACGTCGCACTCACCAATAAAAAGAAGTTGTTATCCATAAAGTTTGTTCTATATAAGCCCGATAGGTTGCAAAGCTGTATATTTAGGTAGTGTAGTGATCACAGGCTTCACTACGATATCGGATCACTATGGAGTAAGCCGCGGTTTGCACCTTGTAAGTATTTAGGCCCAAATCTACGATCTTACGTAGACCCCTGAATCAGGCAATGTATACTTACAAAATGGCTTCCACGAACTCCCTGTGGTGATCGGCTGTCTCCGGCACTTTCCGTCTCGGGTCATGGCCTTCAACTTCAGTTGACGACCCCGATCACCACAGTAGTATTGAGGGCTTGTCTAACCTTTTCAGCAACAATCATGCGAAAGCCCGGGCTTTTTAATAATGGTAGCTACGCCCCTGGATACCTTCGATGCGCAGTCGATTCCTGTTGGTCTGCACTGGCACTCTACCTCTGAACAATGTCTGCTAGTAATGACGTAACTTGATATGACGTCATGTTGTGTGGCGTCACACGCGGCGCCTTGAACATTAGGCGATTTGCAACGGTGGTTGTCTGTTGCAGACAGGATTTCAGACAATGTTGTGGCTAACGAATTCAGCCGAATTCTCACGCAACTGCTGCCACGAATTATCCAACAGAAAGGCTACCCCAGGCACACTCACGTTGATGAGTCACGGCATACACTTTGGATGTGTTATATCCAAGCAATATATGTGTGCGTGTATTCCAACGCACGTGCGTTGGCTGTGTTGATGACGTGATTGGTGTGTTTCACTCACTAAAACGAATCGTCACCCCGTCCGCATTCGCATCCGCACCCGCACGCGCACCCCCACCCATACATAATTATTATCGATTACGTTGATAATAGTGGATGTTATGTTTCTAATCGTGTTGAGTATGTATCATATCGATGCAGACAATCGTTTTCAAGAAAAGGTAACTGAATTATGTTATCTGTTGATTCAGACAATCGCTGTCAAGATATTCCATTACATTTATAGGTATATGCCGCAGTGATGGTGATGTCCAAATACCTCTGTGCCCAGGTAATGCGTCTTAATTGGACTATTCTTTATCAAGGGTCATTTAGCTTGCTACTATCATATTGATGCTAAGAACATTCGCTAGCACTACAGTCTGTAAATGATTTGACATTAGGGGTATTTCAGCTTAGAATAGTAAACGATGAAGCTATATGTAGTTATATATCTATGAACCGAACACCTTTGCCCAGGTCTGCCTGTTTCCGTCCATTGTCTATGGAATGTGGGTGAGTGAGTTTAGTTTGTACGCCGCTTTTAGCATATTCAAGCAACATCACGGCGGGGAACACCAGAAATGGACTTCACACATTGTACCCATGTGGGGAATCGAACCAGGGCCTTCCGTGTGACGAGCGAACGCTTTAACCACTAGGCTACCCCACCACCCCATCAGCGGAATAAGGGGTGCACGGATGTCATAATTACACGGGTGGGATCCTTTCATGCATAGATTGGGGTACTTTAGCAGAGATTTCTTATGGCTGTGGAAAGTATTTTGTCGCTTTCGTGATTTTAATGAGGATGCATATAAGTAAAACGCATTGAGTATAAACAATCTGGGGTGATTAACATTTAATTGGTATGAGAGACAATGTTTTTAAAGCATTCAGAGGATATTTCATCTTAACATTATTTCAGCAGACTTCCATTTCCGTTTTAAATACCCGACCCATGAACAGCTATTGGTCTACATTTTTTATGTTCTGTTTTGAAAAAGCTTACAGATTTAATTTAACGATCCATATTAGTATTTAGACTTACTAAAATAAGTGATTTACTGTATTGCAGAGATATATTTTAGTGTGCTTTAGTCAATAAATCACAATGTATTCATTATTCATATTTGTTAGTGTGTATCTTTACTTATTATCATATATTTTTATTATGACAATTTATGAATATTGATATTCTATTAATCAAGGGTATCGTGAGGCCAACGCTTGTGATCCTGTTGGTTAGTAACGTGTTCAACCTATTCTCCCTGGATGTCTTCCTTCACTGGGCAGGTCTGGACATGGTGTAAGTACAGCACTTCACCGGTGTCAGAGTCAGTAGGAACGTTTCGGGGACTGTAAACACTGTGGTGCTTTGGCTGAATTTCCCAATTTTCAAGTGTATACTTCGTGTGTCCAGAACAAGGGATAACTAAATTTTTAAACGATTTAAAAGACTTTGGCTGTGGCGAATCACCAGATATGCGCATTATTCCATGATAACATGAATCCCTGCTATACATGAAAACATACTTCGGCATAATATAGCACCGCTATACATTTCCATATGTAACAGCATTTGAAGAATCGTATCTTGTTTATGTTTTCTGACCTTTCACTTAAATACTGAAACCAAAATCGATTCTGTAATGATACTTTTTGAGAATTTTTTGGCATTACGTATTCAATTATCCACATGCATCTTCACACCGTATGTGCGTAGCATACAAGTTAGGGTATTGTCAGTATTGCAAAGATATAGATAGCGTGTCTTACAATTTTACACGATAGAGAAAGATTTGTCAACCACAAGGAAATTGTAGAAACTTTAACAAGTATGGTATGATATAAAATGAGATGTGTATCGTCACGACATTGTAACTAGGTATCACTATATTTCAGACTGATTATGCATGCTTGTATGATGATACACACGTATCTACAATTCTAGAGTGAACTACGAGACTTCAAATTGACTGCAGAGATTGAGGCAAATGCTTCCTTGATTTACTGTAACTCGGAAACGAGCGTTGAACACTATTACTGCTGGTTTTCTATATAAAAGATAATACTCTCTCCATAACTATTAAAGAGTAATAAGCCCGTGTCTATGAGTCACTGTCAAATAGTGATGATACCAGGTGGTCGCGAAAAGGTGAGAGCATACTGCATAACTGATGGCATCCATCACAAACACACGCAAAGGCTAGTCAAATATACACGTTAACAGTCAAGAGAGCATATAGTACAGAATCAAAATAGAACGCTGCATCGGAAACCATTTTTGTTCCTGATGTGTCACATATAGAAACATTCTGTATATTCTGTAAGATAAAGATATGGTAACTTGTAACATTAAGACTGATTATGGTAAAACGTTAGTGAGTCACGTGTGTAGCTCTTGTCCACTAATTGTATGTCATTTGTATATTTTAGAGGGGCTGCACTGGCGGTATGTGTAACATATGGAGCATGCTGCATCATGCACGCGTTGTATATTTATGGTTCAAACATCAACGACGCTACCTGGACAGGTATCAATTTATAAACTCTTTAACGGAATTAAATATCACATAGGAATCCTTCTTACAAAGGCGAGGCGTATGATTCCGACAACAGTGTAGGCACGAGTTATAAATGTTAATATGTAACTCACATCTATGATTATCATCTAACAATTATGTAATTGTGACTATAGGGAGTGGAATGGGAATTGGTATTGTGTGTGGTAGTTAACCTAGACTCCCTCCCCTCCCCACAGCTATACAAGTTTACATTAAAAAGCATATTCAAGCAAACAGCTTGCGATACTAATGTTATCTGCTATAAATGTTTATACTCTGTTCAAGGACGTCACATATAATTGTTACTTAGGAGCTGATTATTTTTTTCAGGCTGGTCGTCCAAGTGTTGGCTAGAATGGAAACATTTCAGCGATTTGGCAGTTCCTGGTTTCATGATGATCGCGATGTCTTGGTGGTCTATCCAGATCGTTGTTGTACTGACAGGTATGTGGTGTGGCGAGGTGTGTGTTGTACTGACAGGTATGGCGGTGTGTGGTCCTGTGCGTAGAGCTCAGGTCACAATCAGTTGAAGTTAAGCAACGTTTGTCGAGGACAGTCCTCGGATGGGTGACCGTGTTTGGCAGCTTGACTCCTGAAAGTTTCTAGGACTTCAGTCCTGCCCCACAACGAAGCACATGTGACGCACGTGGTCTCACCTTAGGCAAGTGAGTTTGTTCAAAATTGCCTCTGTCCACCCAGCAGTAAAATTGGGTACCTGGTATGATACGGTGGTAGTCTAAATTTGAACCTTGAGCGCCTGACAGGCGACCGGCGGTATTCTCCACATGGAGTGTTCTGTACTCGTTGACCAGAGGTAATATGTCAGAACTTTGAGCACGCAATGTGCATGGATAAACGCGCAATATAAATGGACTGTTATTATTATTATTATTTGGTGTGGCGAGGTGTGTGTTGTAATGAAATATAGTGATTAACTGTGACAATGATACTAACGTCATTAGTTAGATGTTTCTGGCCAATCAGCTGATAGTCAATGCCCGTTTTACAACATCGTTTGCAATGGCCCTCAATGACATACCAGTATTCCGCATACCAATAACTTGCCATTATGAAACAGTAGTCAGTTTAAGAGGTCCTATATTTCCTCAATGACATACCAGCATTACACATGACAACTTGTCATCTCTGAACAGAGGTCCTATATTTGCTTTGAAATCAGTTGATTTTCCAAGTCATCTATCTCTAAGAACATTTTACTGAAACTTGATATTTTCTTAATGACAGATACGTGCATATCTAAAATAAATGTATGGTGCGTCAGAAGGGTCAAAATTTTCATACAAACAAACAAAATGACCATATGAATATAGATAGCTATATTGGGGTTAAAATCATAGGTGTTCCTATGTTTTTCGATGTGCAAAGAACAACTAGGCTCTGTACATTGGTTTTTACCGGGTTAGAATTGTACTTTAGCAACCTTGCTTGTCGTAAGAGGCGACTAACAGGATCGGGTGGTCAGGATCGCTGACTTGGTTGACACATGTCATCATATCCCAATTGCGTAGATCGATGCTCATGTTGTTGATCACTGGATTGTCTGGTCCAGACTCGATTATTTCCAGACCGCCGCCATATAGCTTTGATATTGCTCAGTGCGGCGTAAAACAACAAACTAAGCATTGGTTTTGTATCAAGGTGCATACATACTTGATGCAGCAGGCAATGTTCTAAGACTAGACATATGGCTGCTGCATCAATAATGATATGTACTTAATAGACCTGTGTGGGGCGGTGGGGTAGCCTAATGGTTAAAGCGTTGGCTCGTCACGCAGAAGACCCGGGTTCGAATCCCCACATGGGCACAATGTGTGAAGCCCATTTCTGGTGTCCCCCGCCGTGATGTTGCTGGAATATTGCTAAAAGCGGCGTAAAACCAAACTCAGTCAGTCAGTCAGTAATAGACCTGTGGACGTTAATGTTACCAAAGCTCGTCTGTACCTGTACTTGTGTCCTTCATTTGCAGGATACATTGGGAAGGTGCAGTTGGCAGCCCAAGCTGTCTTGTTTCAAATAGTCGCCTTAATTGACATGGTACGTTCATTCTACTATGCATGGGGGCGATGGGGTAGTGGGTAAAACGTTCGCTCGTCACGCCAAATACCCGGGTTCGCTTCCTCACGCGGGTACAATGTGTGAAACCCCTTCTTGGTGCCCCCGCCGGAATATTGCGGCATAAAGCTACACTCACTCACTCACTTACTCACATATCCGTACAAAAGTAGAGCAACAGAGCACTAAAACTGTTCTCTAGAATCTATTTATCAATTTTATGACGGCGTAGATCCTAAGACTTACGTTTCTCGGTGGCTATAAGTTGAGGGCATTTGCCAACATATGGCTCCATATTGCAAATATCGTGTCTTAAGAACCTATATCGGTCGGTAGTTAAAGCGTTCGTTCGTCACACCGAAGACCGGGGTTTGATCCCACATGGCTACAATGTGTGAAGCCCATTTCTGCTGTCACCCGCCGTGATATAGCTGGAATATTGGTAAAAGCGGCGTAAAACCATACTTACTCACTCACTCACTCAACATGGGCACAATGAGTGAAGCCCATTTCTGCTGTCACCCGCCGTGATATAGCTGGAATATTGGTTAAAGCGGCGTAAAACCATACTTACTCACTCACTCACTCAACATGGGCACAATGTGTGGAGCCCATTTCTACTGTCACCCGCCGTGATATAGCTGGAATATTGGTTAAAGTGGCGTAAAACCATACTTACTCACTCACTCACTCAAAATGGGCACAATGTGTGGAGCCCATTTCTACTGTCACCCGCCGTGATATAGCTGGAATATTGGTTAAAGCTGGCGTAAAACCATACTCACTTATTGACTAAGAACGCATACCTATATTCCTAATACGTAAAACTACGTTTAAAACGAACACATTGATATTGTAACAAACTGTTTGTTAGTCGGGACCAGTTGCTGTAAACCCGTGACGATCAGGGATAGAATTGATCTTCAGTAACCCATGCTTGTAAGAGGCGACTAACACGCGTGAAGATCCGGGATAGAATTGATCTTCAATAACCCATGCTTGTCGCAAGAGGCGACTAACGGGGTCGGGTGGTCAGTCTTGCTGACCTGGTTGACACATGTCATCGTATCCCAATTGCGTAGATCGATGCTCATGCTGTTGATCACTGGATTGTCTGGTCCAGACTCGATTGTTTACAGACCGCCGCCGTATAGCTGGAATATTGCTGAGTACGGCGTTAAACAACAACCAGTCAACCAGTCAACCAACCAGTTGCTGTATGGTTAATCAAAATACAAACTACGGTTTTAACGCACTGAGAAAAGTGACCTCTTTTAATTCGTTACAACCGAAATTGACTGCATTTGATAATTACGATACGGACAGATGCAAGGATAATAATCTCTTTGCTTTATAATGTTCTTTTTAATAATAATTATAGATATTTGTAGCCATATTCCTTTACATACTCAACACTCCATAACATCGCAAATCGTAACGCTGCAGTTGCCCTATGGTATGTCGACCGCCGCGGGCATGCGCATTGGCAATCTGCTTGGAAGTGGTGACCACGTGGCTTGTCAGACAGCCAACTCAACTGCGAAAATAATTTCAGGTGAGATCCGGAGTGCCAACGCCTGTAATACCTTAATGAGCGTGAGAAACCCGGTCCCTTTGATATTCCTACTATTCCAAGGTGTGAACCTGACGAAATAAGGAATTGACTTCTAAAAACACATGAGGAAAAAATGGAAATTACTAGAAATTTGTACCAGAATGTATGCTACTAAATAGCATGTCTCGATCATCCAAAGAAACAGGTCTCGTTGGGCGTAGGAAGAACGGGCTCTGAGAATAATATCAATGGATCGCTGAAAATCAGTGATGGCGTTAGGTGTTCGCAATAAGTAACTCTTCACGTTTTCGCAATTGTTTTAAAAATCAAGTGTCGTACCTGTAATGACAAAAAAAACGTTTTACCATACCTTATATAGTTTTCTCAAATTGATTGTGTTAACTTGGAGACCTTTGATTTTTAGAAGTGTTACAGGAGAGTAGGGGTAAGGTCAGAAATTGATCATTTGATGTTGAGATTCCTGAGTCGGACTGCGAGGACACCGATATGGTGGTTGGACATTCCCAAGTTGTTAGTTGTTGAAAAGCCTTTTACCCTGATTATCAGGATACTCACACAAAAAATATGACACCTTGATTACTTGGTTTCGAATCCAAGGACACCCGCGAAGGTCCGGGTTACAATATTGATCTTCAGTAACCCATGCTTGTCGTAAGAGGCGACTAACGGGATCGGGTGGTCAGGCTCACTGACTTGGTTGACACACGTCATCGGTTCCCTAGTGCGCAGATCGATGCTCATGCTGTTGATCACTGGATTGTCTGGTCCAGACTCGATTATTTACAGACTGCCGCCATATAGTTGGAATATTGCTGAGTGCGGCGTAAAACTAAACTCACTCACTCAGTCGAATCCAAAGAACCTGATAATCTGAAATCCTCCCGAGTTTAAAGAACCACTAAACTTTGTTTTTTGTTACTCTTTTAACCATTACATATGAAAGATTTGTGGTTAGTCTTATGCGGAACACCAAATTTATTCTTTAAAAACTTGTGGTTAATTAATACCGAGCGATTAAAAGTGGCCAAAAAGTCGCCTGCCTCCCTCTCGCCCGCCAACGAAACCACAGATAGGTTACGTAACTCTGTCGCCAGAGCACTGCAGTGACGTCATATGAGGAACGATTTTCAGTTAGTTGTATAGAAAATGTGTAGCACGCTCATCATTTTGATGATTTCTCGACATCAACGACGACATGCCGAATCGTTGCTTTGTCGTCAATTGCTCCTAGGGGTCGGGCGATGGTGTCCCCATGCACAGATTTCCACAGGACCCCGCAGTTCGTGCTAAATGGGTTATGTTTGTGAGTGCGAAGCGAGCGTTGTGGAAGCCTGAAACGATATCTTACTTGTGTTCAGATCGCTTCACGGAAGTTAAAGAATCAAAACTACTTACTAATTCTAGTAAAATATGCATATGATTGATGACCATAAAAATTTTCTATGACACAACTTGTAACATAACGATTTCTTCCTCGGAAGTGAGTTTGTGGTCGAAGTAACAATAATATTGTAAGTAGTATTATATTCACACCCACCTCGCTGCCACGAGAGAAATTGTTATGTTATACGCTATGTCATGCAAAATCCTATTGGCCATCAATAAAATACATATTTTACTACCAGTAGAAAGTAGTTTTGATTTTGTAACTCGGTGAAAACAAACCTGAATACCATTTATCCTCAGACTGGCGGATGTTCCCGACAGGGCGCCGCCATTTTTAAAAATAAAAAAAATCTGTTAGAATTAATGAGATTATAGTTTGTTTTCATCAAGTTAGAAAATCAAGACTACTTTCTACTCGTAGTTAAATATGTATTGGAATCATAACCAAACGGATTTTGCATGACACAACTTATAACATAACGATTTCTTCCACGGAAGCGAGGTGGGGGTCGAAGTCACAATACTGCGCGACAAATTCCTTCTACATTCCCCATGGTTAATGTCCATCACCAGTATGTAGATACTAGTCAATGTGCGTCTTTATATTTGGTCTTATAATCCTAATTAGTTTATTATCATACTTGTATGCATTTTGAAACCAACTAAAAAGCAGACGATCTGCTGATACTTATAGTGAATTTATAACAGAACTGTAATATCTAGACATTTTATAGTTTGCCAATGTGAATCATAATTCGCACACACACCCTAGTGTATGTTGTCTGTCTCATTACACTTCAAGGCGAAAACAATGATTCTGTTGAATGCTACGACAAATGAATAAAAACAAAATGCAATTATTAAAATTAAAACAGATTAAAGTTATAGGAACAATATCAGGCCATTACCTTGTTCGAGGAATGTATCCATCAATATCCACAAAACTGTTCCAAATGATGTGTCTTTTAACAGTTTAATATACGAAAAAGTGATAAATCTTTTCAGGTATTGGTGTATAGTCTCATTGGTCACCCAAGATAGCACACCTGGCAACTAATTGCATAATGTCCGCCTTTCTTTAAAAACAGTAATTTAGTTAGCCAATAATGGGCAATCAATCAATGTATTGCCGGTTAATCCTTTGAAAGAAGGACGTTGTTTTTACGCAGACACCGACACGACAGAGTGTATTCAGTATAGATTAGTAAATCTACATACATAAACACTACCTTTTGACAATTCCGCTGTGTAAGATAAAAGTAATTAATCAATCAGCGTGTTATCGGTTAAACCCTTGATCGATGTTTATAATGTTGAATATTTACTCCAGACACAAGAAATGCCAAATGGGAACCTTTGTCGGGTAATCTAAGTGTGTTACCACTAATTATACCTGTTATAAATTCATTAACTGACCATCAAGTGAATGATGACAAATAACATGTGTAGGTTTATACCACCTAACACGGGTTACAACAAGGGAGTATTAATTGCTGTATTGCATGTGAAAACTTATGGGCCGACACTGTTTTGAGAATACAAACAGATTTTTACATGACATGATTAATTATCGAGGTAAAAAAACACAGAAATGGGATCAATTTGGATCAGTCATTATACAAATAGGGCCTAACGACACCAATCGATTTTGACAGAATCGTCTATGAAAACAAGTTGTAACTCGGAAACTAGGCAAAGCAGGAGACAAAATTAAATGACAGTAGATTGTGAGAACATATAGCTTTAATTTTCCACAACAATTGTCACGATTTCAGGTTTATACAAGCCTGTAAACAAGATAATTTACCCCCTAAAATGTAGATGAATTCTGCATCGGCCCTCAAAGCTATTCCTCATATGACGTCACAGAGGCGCGCCGCTCTGATTGGTTGAAATTTCGTTCGCGGGTTAGAATTGTGCACTGTTGTCAAAAAGGTCGATTTAAGTCAATTAAAGGTCGAAATGAGTAGTTTTAATGACGGGGTTTCATTTATAACGATGCCAGTCAGTGATTTATGTATTTGTACCCCCTAGGGTTTATGTGACCTTTAACAACGTTTCATCGTCGTTTCTTTTCTAGGAATATTTTCTGCGGTGGTCGGCGCAGTACTTACGCTCTTTGGGGGAGTAATAGCTGAAGCATTTACAGATGATGAGTAAGTAGTGTAGTATAGGACGTGGTAGTTTTCTGCAGTATGTGTCTTGGTTTGTCAGCACTATTTCCCGGGCGGTGGGGTAAACTAGTGGTTAAATCGTTCGCTCGCCACGGCCCGGGTTCGATTCCCCACATGGGCACAATGTATGAAGCTCATTTCCGGTGTCCTCAGCCGTGATATTGCTGGAATATTGCTAAAAGCGGCGTTAAACCTCACTCACTTACTCACTCAGCAATATATTCCTGTGATGGGTTGTAACACTTCTAAGACTTACACCAGCCTCACACGCAAGTATTTTACTGAAATAAGGGTAACATTTTTATTTTTTGTGTTTCTCATCGCCCGTCGGATCCTTCTAATTTTAATGCCGACCGCCCCCCCAAACTTTTTTTTTCATTCCAACATCGCCAACTCGAACCTAAAACGTACCGCCTCGTCATATAAAAGTTTATCTTTTAATCAGACGCTGCCACAAGTCCAAAGAACGCGAGAAATTGTAATAAGAATTACAATAAATGAGAATCAAGAACATTATTCAGATAACTTTGTCTTTATCAAGTTGTTTTTTGTTGGGGGTTTTCCCGACCGACCCATGTTCAGAATTTGGTGGCTACGTAAAACACAGAAATGATGCCCTAATGTTCACAGCGGCTTTAAACAACTCACTCATTACTCACCTCACTCACCTACACATCTCATAGCCCGATCTTCTTAGGTTGTTGGTTTGTCAGCTGGCTGGCTGTTTAACGCCGCAAACCGCAACCTTCCTCTGGATGACGGGGGTCTGTATATAATCAGACCCAGTGGTTGAAGTCATGAACACCGATCTTCGCAATTGGGTTAGGATTGACATGCATCAGCCAATCAGCAGGCCTGACCACCCGATCCAGTTATTTGTCTCTTACGATAAGCATGGGTTGCTGAAGACCAGGGCCTAGATTTTCAAAGCTCTCTAAGCGCTAAGATAGTCGTAAGTGCCATACATTAACATTAACTTACGACTTTCTTAGCGCTAAGAGAGCTTCGAAAATCTGGGCCCAGGGCCTAGATTTTCAAAGCTCTCTTAACGCTAAGATAGTCGTAAGTGCCATACATTAACATTAACTTACGACTATCTTAACGCTAAGAGAGCTTCGAAAATCTAGGCCCTGCTGTAACCCGTGCCCTCACTCCGGTATTAAATGAGTATACTGCTACATATTTGCATTTACGAATGTATTGATTGTTTTGAGCTGAAACGTAAAGAATAACGGCTGGCTACCTATAATGATATACATCTCATTAACTGATTATTTGCTGATGTTTGTAATTATAATTTCTTCAATATTAAGTCTTGGGTATCTAGGTGTTTGAAGCGCCGAGCCTCTGAGTTCAATGCCCCATATGGTTTCAATGCTGTGAGCCCAATCGTAGCCGCGACATTGTTGTGGCATCGTAAAGCCATACTCAAGTATAAGGCAGCACGTAAAAAGTAGTGAGTGAGTGAGTGAGTTTAGTTTTACGCCGCTTTTAGCAATATTCCAGCAATATCACGGCGGGGGACACCAGAAATGGGCTTAACACATTGTACCCACGTGGGGAATCGAACCCGGGTTTTCGGCGTGACGAGCGAACGCTTTCACCACTAGGCTACCCCACCGCCCCCGTAAAAAAGTAAATATCACAGCTTTTGATATACACACCCAAACTAAGTTTTTGCGCTTCTCTCCGAAGAACGTCATGCCGAATGCCCGTGTTAGATTTCCCACATGGGTACAATGTGTGAAGCCCATTTCTATTGTCCTCCACCGTGATATTGTAGGAAAAGCGGCGTAAAACTAAACTCACTCACTCACTTTCTCCGGAGATCCGGGTTCAATTCTCGAAGGCTGCAATGTCTCCTTCGTGATACTGCTAAACGCAGCTCTCGCTTACACGCGATTGGACCCGTGAAGATCCGGGTTCTAATTGATCTTCAGCAACCCATGCTTGTCGTAAGAGGCGACTAACGGGATCGGGTGGTCAGGCTCGCTGACTTCATTGACAAATGTCATCGTATCCCCAACTGCATAGATCGATGCGCATGCTCGATTATTTACAGACCGCTGCCATATAGCCGGATTATTGCCGAGTGCGACGTAAAACTAAACTCACTCACTCACACGCGATTGTGTCATAACTGTTCTAAAATCCAGTTATTCTTACAGTGAAGTTGCAGATCAGGTGAAGCAAGTAATGCCCATCCTCACCATCTACCTATGCATTAAAACAGTATCTGTAAGTATATTGGTTTCAAACAATAAAAGGTCGGTGGGGTAGCCTAGTGGTTAAAGCGTTCGCTCGTCACGCCGAAGACCCTGGTTCGATTCCAGACATGGGTACAATATGTGAAGCCCATTTCTGGTGTCCCCCGCCGTGATATTGCTGGAATATTGCTAAAAGCGGCGTTAGACCATACTCACTCACTCAAACAATAGCAATTGACATTGTATTAATATTGTCTGGACATGTTTAAACGCTAGAAACCAAAAGCGACATATATACTCCATATACGATTCTGACTATGTCCATAACTATAACCCTAACCATGTATATGTTACAGGAAATATGTATAATCAGGGAATGTGTGTAATGTCTGATTCACTCAGGGAATATACATAATACCTAAAATTGTCAGGAATTATACATATTCCCTGGTTTTAGGAGAAGTTTTTTAGACATATTCCCTGTATAAAAGCTAGAAACCAAATGCGACATGTAGAGTCCATATACGTTTTTGACTATGTCCATAACCATAACCATGCCTATATAAATCACTGTTAAACTGTGATGACACCGGGTGTTCGCCAAATGGTGGACGCATCACGCAACACCTGACAATCTAGTGTCAGCAAGTCCAGACCGGACAGTCTAGTGTCAGCAAGTCCAGACCGGACAGTCTAGTGTCAGCAAGTCCAGACCGGACAATCTAGTGTCAGCAAGTCCAGACCGGACAATCTAGTGTCAGCAAGTCCAGACCGGACAGTCTTGTGTCAGCAAGTCCAGACCGGACAGTCTAGTGTCAGCAAGTCCAGACCGGACAGTCTAGTGTCAGCAAGTCCAGACCGGACAGTCTAGTGTCAGCAAGTCCAGACCGGACAGTCTAGTGTCAGCAAGTCCAGACCGGACAATCTAGTGTCAGCAAGTCCAGACCGGACAGTCTAGTGTCAGCAAGTCCAGACCGGACAGTCTAGTGTCGGCAAGTCCAGACCGGACAATCTAGTGTCAGCAAGTCCAGACCGGACAGTCTAGTGTCGGCAAGTCCAGACCGGACAGTCTAGTGTCGGGAAGTCCAGACCGGACAGTCTAGTGTCAGCAAGTCCAGACCGGACAGTCTAGTGTCAGCAAGTCCAGACCGGACAGTCTAGTGTCAGCAAGTCCAGACCGGACAGTCTAGTGTCAGCAAGTCCAGACCGGACAGTCTAGTGTCAGCAAGTCCAGACCTGACAGTCTTGTGTCAGCAAGTCCTGGCCGGACAATCTAGTGCTAATGAGTCTGGACCTGACAATCTAGTGCTAATGCGTCTGGACCTGACAATCTAGTGTCAGCAAGTCCGGACCGGACAGTCTTGTGTCAGCAAGTCCAGACCGGATAACTGCCCCAAGTGTGCACTGGGCTGGCCGTTTGCCCATAGCGTGCAATTGGCAATACAACTTGCCCACTGCATGCAATGTGCAAACACATATTTGCTCATTGCATGCAGAGGGCAATAGTTGAGAATGAACAATAATTCTCTACATATTTCACAATATGGACAGCTAGCTTGCTCATTTCACGCAATGGACAGGTAATTGTTCTGCCCATAGCACACAATTGAAATTGATATTGTTACATGTTTATTTTTTTAGTAGGTAAACTCTATTATTAGGTGAATAAACTGTTATAAATAATAACCAAACAAATATGTTATCTTTAAAAAAAGATTCTCGATAAACACACATATTAATGATATATGTATATATGAAATATGGACTGAAGGCAGCCTAATGGCAATTCTGCTCCTTTCTTATATATTATTACATCGTGGTATATTATTACATTGTCCATATGTCCATATTTCACCTCCAGAGTGTATTTGGTGGAGTTTTAAGAGGTATTGGACAACAACGGTTTGGAGCTTGCGTCACTTTCCTGTCATACTATGTCATATGTCTTCCTCTGGGGCTCCCATTAATGTTTCTGACATCATTGGGTATTGCAGGTAAGATTATTTCTTATTGACCATTCCCTGGCCAATGTAACCAACAGAAACGTATGGATCGGGTCAGAAAAGATTAGCAGAAACCTGTGCTGGTTGGCAGATCTTTGAAGATCTTGGTGACTTGGCCAATAGTGCCTGTACGTCTCGCGAGACGCTACTTCCGGTACTAGGCTGGTGCCCGGCTCCCTTTGCGCGCGCCAAATTGCGATGTGCGAGACGGGGCCCAGCTTACTTCCGGTACCAGATTTCCGGTGACAAGCGTATATTCAACAACCAGTTCCGGTTCCAAATTGCACGACCGCCAAATATGACTTTACCAGACCGGACCAAGTATACAACCACGCTTGGCTGTCACAGCTGTTGACAGTCGTAATAGTTGGCTAATTTGAGGATGATTAGACCTAAAATTTGTTATTATTTGTGTAGGATTATCGGTTCCTTACTGTCAACAGACAACTGTGAGACCATTCGAAAAGGTATGTCACCGGAAGCACCAAACAACTTACGGGCCTATAGCGTGTTATTGTATCTCCCCGCGTTGCTCGCTTTACCAATTACTGGACTGTCGTGACCAGACTTCATTATTTACTGTTCGCCGTCAGATAACTAGAAAACCGTTTAGTACGGCCTTAAAACGGCCTCATACAAACAAACAAATTACTTGACTGTGGACTGGGCAGAGGAAATTTATGGTGGGCCAGGAAAACATTGTGCGCAGAAGAGAGAGAGAGGTGACAAGCGCCAGGCTCGATAAGGGGAAGTACCATCTTAACGTCCTTTGGTGTTACACCAACCTTCCCTCCGGTACACTGCTATTGGACTTGATTGATTCTAGTCCTGTGTGTATTGCAGGTATCTGGATCTCCTATACAATTTCCGCTACGTTCCTAGGCGTGTGCTGCTACGTCAGACTTAATAATGTTGATTGGAAGAAGGAAGTCGTATTGGTGAGAATCTAAATTAATAAATATTTCGTACGTAATGCAGTGTCTGTTCACGTTACATGTTTGTACATCCCAATTATCACCCGATAAATCCAATTCCTCTAAGATGGTTTATGTTTCGCTGTTATTGCATATATACCCTCCAGTGGTTGTGATGAAATTGTTTTTCTTTCAAAAAATAGAATGCCTGATAATGTAAGGATGGGCAGAACAATCTCTATATATGGCAGGTAATTCTCTTTGCTGAGTTCTCTCAGGTTCCACTACTCGCTGGTTTGATTCACGGGTTCGCTTAGGGCGTTATTCACCGGAGTGAGTGAGTGAGTTTAGTTTTACGCCGCTTTTAGCAATATCACGTCTGGGAACACCAGAAACGGGCTTCACAGTTATTCCCTAGAGTTACGATTGACGTAAATCAATCATTAAGCACACGACTTACTATCGCCTTAGCATCAAGATTGCTTTGAGGAACAGTAACGGTGGCGATGGGGTAGCCTAGTGGTTAAAACCTCCGCTCATCATGCGGACCAGGGTTCGATTCCCCACATGGGTACGTTGAGTGAAGCCCATTTTCTGGTGTTCCCTACCGTGATATTGCTGGAATATCGCTAAAAGCGGCGTAAAGCCTCACTCACTCATTCATTCGTAAAGTTACGAGTTATCGTAATTGTATAGTTTGTCATAGGTTTACGAATGAGCTACGTCAGCGCCATATTGGTGCTCGCTGGGTTTCATCAAAGCAGTATACATCACTTTTTCCTTCTCTTCTACATTAAGTCGTTATATATAGCTGAAATACGTAGTTTACATACGGTAACAGATGCTTCTGTACTTCAGGCCCAGGAACGAGCAGGTGCCAAAGGCAAAAAATGCTCCGAGATGAAAGGCGGAGGTAAGATTAAACCTTTCAGCCACACCGAACGAAGCCGACACTATTGATTCTGTCAGATTATAATATATATATTTCCTCTTTACAAAAATCTTCTTTTGTCTGGAAATTTCTTTATAACGATAAGGCAGTTACCTATCTTGAATATTGGTTACTTTTAAAAGGAATTACCTATAATATCTAGCTCCAGATAAGGTGACTCATCTTAATTCTCTGTTCTAGAAACCTCCGTCTCATTTGCAAAGTCCCTGTCAACAATGTTATTACAATGTCATCAGTTCAAGCTTGACACGCTCCAGTAGCACATGTTCTATTCTTGACAGATGAGACCGTGAAGATCCGGGTTAGAATTGATCTTCAGTAACCCACGCTTGTCGTAATAGGCGACTAACGGGATCGCGTGGTCAGGCTCGCTGACTTGGTTGGCACACGTCATCGTATTCCAATTGCGTAGATCGATGCTCATGCTGTTGATCACTGGATTGTCTGGTCCAGACTCTATTATTTACAGACCGCCGCCATATAGCTTTGATATTGTTGAGTGAGTCGTAAAACTAAACTCACTCACTTGACAGATGATATTCATGATATTCAAATACACAGTTGGCTAATAATCTATATGTATAAATTTAGATTACTCTCCGCTGATTCAAGAGGACTGTGCCAGTGATGATGAAGACTACTCGCATGAAAGTCCATCCCGTATCAACGAGCCAAGGGGCGGTCTGATGAGAGTCATTGTCTCCCGCCTACTAATAGCACTGTCTATTATTGGCATCCTTGTGTTTGGTGTCACAGTGAGGACTATGCCCGGACGCTCGCATTTACCAGAGTGTGCCACTGTTCCAGGATTTGCACAGATGACCTCGGGAACTTTCTGTGCCAATCAGACTGAACTCTTGCAAACCCTAAATTCGACAAGGAATATCACTGAACAGTAGAAGCATGCACAGGCCCTCGTCTCTTTGCGAGGATTACAAATTGAAAAATATATTTTGAGATGACCCCCGACTCGAAATGCTTCACAGTACAATCCATCATGATTTCGGGGGTCATCTAATAAAACTTTTATAATATTTAATCCTCGCAAAGACACGAGGGCCTGTGGAAGCATGTGGGTTTGTAACCACTACGTAGGGACCATTTTCACACGTGATCTATGCATACTCTAAGAAATGAGACACGAAAGAGATCATCTTTAAAGTTATCAGAAGTGTTCTTATGGATGAGACTTTTCTCATGTATTTGTAGGATATGTACGGATACTCAATGCATAGATTTGCCTGAAAAATGTGTCAAAAGTATTGATTTAAGAGGTTTTGATGAAATGTTTTATGCAAAATTTGAACATGGGTACTGCCCATGCTGGTTGTGAATGAAACGGAACAGATCATGGTAAGAAATTCATCTTGGGTCACAGATCTGATCTTACTTTGAAATGCCCTAATTGTCGAACATCTGAAATAGGGCCTGATTAGGTCCATTGTTATAAAGTTAATCTTGTCAGATGTCAGATTTATGAAGAAGTAGTTGTCTGATATAAGGTCACTTCTTTGAGTTGGTAACCGACAGCAAATCAGCCATTTCCGACCACATCAAAGCAAGCCCCAATCATCAAATAGAGTGGTCTGACATCACCATTCTTTCTAACAAACAAACAGACTTCACTAAACGCAAGCTCACCGAAGCCATCCACATCAAACGCCAAAAGCCCACCATCAACCGAGACCAAGCATACTTCATTCCATCAGCTTATGATGCACTCATCCACCAAGACCAATCTACTGTATAAACATCTCATTGTTATTTGTACATCATTGGCTTCACGCCTGTCCTTTGTCTACTCTCTGGCTTCATCAGCTTTCTGCCTAGCCAATTGTGTTGTTTTCGTTGTTACATTGTTACATCCAGTATATATATACTTCCCCCTTCTTCATGTTCCATTATGCTTGACAATGGTACAAGAATCTGTATCGAAACGTCGCACTCACGATTACAAAGAAGTTGTTATCCAAAAAATTTGTTCTATATTGATATAAGGTCCTAGCTACTCTTCAATTCAATCCCGGTGGGATAAGTCGTGGCATAAGTCTAGCACAGTTTGGGTTATCCGGGGTAATTATAATCAGATTGTAGCGTGCCCCTCCGTGGTGCGGAATTCAGCGCATTACTATTGCCCTTATTATCAATTCAAGATATCTTTATTCCCAAACATGTAACAACAGCATAGACGGAATGTATAGAAGTCATGTTTCTTTGAGAAAAGTTATGAAAGTTACGATTGCTGTCATAGTGTCGGAATGAATGACCCGACTTGACCTAGATTCGAGACAGCTGGAACCAGAAACGATAACACTACCGGTGGTTTGTTTTCCTGACAACAGCTTCTATTGACTACACGAGTCCGATTCAACGAGAATTCGCCTCTTTGGTGACCGTCGACAGTGGAGTGACTCGAGTCGTTATAATTACTAGAAATGGTCAACAAATAGAAAATAAACTCCATTATATGGGCCACGAGAACAGGGTGTGCACCGTCTGCAGGGAAAGGACATCTGTGTATATGATTTGAGACAAGTGTAACTGATGGGAAACGTGGCACTGTACATGGCGATCAATCTCGTGACTTGGCACCCAAGTCGTGACCTCAACCTGGTGATAAATGTTCTCCGGCGGTTGTTTACAAGTTGGATGCTCGCCCACGAGACTTTTGCAGTGACGACAATCCATGTTATCCTAAACCCAACATACAGTTCGGGGTAAAATCTGGAAACACTTGGTTCAAACGCCAACAAGAAACAAGCTCGATCGCCTCCCTCACGAAGACCGTGGCATACAGGGCTGGACTGTCAAACCACAGCCCTAGAAAAAGAATGATCCATACTTTATCCGACAAGGGAGTCCCAGTGCATCAGATTATGCAAGTTTCTGAAGAATTTTAACGTCCAGTTCATCGATCAAGAGCTATTTCATAATAAATGAATCAAGCCATCAAAATATCAACAAAATCTTTCATCTTCTGTGCTCACCCCACGGGCGTGTTTGTCATATCCTCTTAAATCCTATATGCACATGCTCCCGTCAATCTCTACTGTATAGTTCACCAGGGCTAATTTCTTCCTGGTTTCTTGTGCCATGTAAACGTTCCTGTATACATCTGTGAACGAAATTCATGTCAAGTTAAGTATTTTTCATTGTTTTTATTTTCATTGGCAGTTAAGAACTTATGGATGTCATCATCGTTTGCAAAGACAAATCTGTCTGCATTTTGTCCGGCGTTTCGATTCGGGGGGTCATAAAAGTCGTCAAACCTCAAGTACTCGACGCAGACGCTGGCAAACCCGTCTTCCTGGCGTTGATCTTGACACACTTGAAACAGTTTTATGGGCGGATCCAGAGGGGGGTTGCAGGAGTGCGCACTTTTGTCTTGAAAGGTTATTAAATGACCATTGAAACTCTCGTGAAAACGGGTGAAAATGAACTGTGCACCCCCTTTCTCAAAAGCTGTATCTGCCCGTGAGTTTCTGGCACAATTCATTCTGTACCTTGGAGCAAGGACATGAACTGTGTTCAGAAGTTCGATCAATCAATGATTTATTCAGGAGAGTAAACCTTCCTGTCAGATCTCCGTCCACCTTGACGAGGTCATTTACTTTCACAGGTGTCAAATGGTCAGCCAAGTTTGTTTACAAAGACGTAGTTATAGGGGATTTTAAAAATATATATTTATTGTAAACTGAAACCCATGCGAAATAAATGCTTTGTTGACGTGTGCGTGTGTTGGCTTCAACAAAAAGAACTGATAATCACATTGTCATTGGCAACTTGACAACTGGTAGGTGTCAGGAGGCAATTTCGGCTCTTAATAGTCATTCCATTCCGGACAGCGACCCAACACACACTCGTTACGTGGTTCGTGTCTGTGCCGTTTTCTCTCTAAAAATAAAGCCAATTACCTACCATGATCGGCAATTTCTAGTGAACAATTTTATGATGAGGTGTGTATATGGGACTTCATGTTCGCCAACAAGCCAGCTGCAACAGGCCCTGGTTGGTGAATGGCGGAATATCCCTATCATTGTTCAGGCAGTCTTGGTGAACACAAATGAAATCTTCACCAAAGGGTATATGACTGTTGAGTCACACAACTCATTGTGCTATAACATGAAACATCTGTATCTGTAATTGATTTCATTGGCCGATATTTAATATGAAATATATTATTATGGCTAAGTATGCTTCAGTTGTGGGGCTGAGTATATCAGCTGCAACAGTGTTCGTCAGTAGATGAGTGAGTGAGTGAGTTTAGTTTTACGCCGCGCTCAGCAATGTTCCAGGTATATGACGGCGGTCTGTAAATAAGAGAGTCTGGATCAGACAATCCAGTGATCAACAGCATGAGCATCGATCTACGCAATTGGGATACGATGACATGTGTCAACTATAAAAAATATAAGTCAGCGACCGTGACCACCCGATCCTGTTCGCCTCTTACGTCAAGCATGGGTTACTGAAGATCATTCTAACCCGGATCTTCACGGGTGTAGTCACTTGATGTAAAGGAATGGCAAAGACGCCTATCCTTACAAAAAGATGATATTGTCAAAACAAACAAAGCCATTACCTAAAGAAGCCTGCTAAAGGGTTTGGAACATAAAATGATCACTGAATAGCTAAGGGACCGTTCATAATTTATGGCTGGTGTGTGTGTGTGTGTGTGTGTGTGTGTGTGTGTGTGTGTGTGTGTGTGTGTGTGTGTGTATGTGATGATTTTAAAGGGGGCCACCCATTTTGTTCTGGAGAGCTGGGGTCATCAATTTTGTACGCATGTACTAGGGTGGTCAGCAATTTTGTACATAAAAATATTTTAAAATTATGCTAGAAAATGGGAAGGGGAGGGGGTCATTGATTTTGTACATGACATGCAGGGGGGGTCACTTATTTTGTACATAAATTTTGGGGTGTCATTCACATTGTACATGCTTCTCAAAAAAAAATCATCCACACACACCCCTCCCCCCCAATAAATTATGAACGCCATAACTAAAAGGCGTTGCCCACAATATAATGGTTAATATTTTATGAATGAACACATGTGAACAGAAGCTACGGCTGGTACACACAAGCCACCTGTGAACAGAAGGTTATGTCTGTGAAATGTAAATGGAAGGACAACTCATCCAAGATCTACTTTACATGCGCATTTATTCATAACCACAAAATCAATGTTTATCATAATTTTCATATTAAGAACATATGAACATAAACTTATACATGTAAATTGTATATATTACATAATCTTGTACACAAAAACATATATATATATTATGAGGACATGCACAGGATAAACATGCTTTTTACACTAAAAGTACTCAGTACTTCCCCATTGGGGCCCTAACAAGTACATGCAAAGAAGGATGACTGCCTTGGCGCTGGCATTAGAACACATTTTATGGCTATCTGTTTTAACCCATTCCCAGGGGACACTAATCTCCACAGGGAATTGCAGCACCTATTACAACTTATATTTGTAACTCCTGACGTGAAGTGAGTGAGTTTAGTTTTACGCCACACTCAGCAACATTCCAGCTATATGACGGCGGTCTGTAAATAATCGACTCTGGACCAGACAATCCAGTGATCAACAGCATGAGCATCGATCTACGCAATTGGGATACGATGACATGTGTCAACCAAGCCAGCGAAGCCTCACCACCCGATCCCGTTAGCCTCTTAGGACAAGCATGGGTTACTGAAGATTAATTCTAGCCCTGATCTTCACGGGTGCCTCACATGAAGTCAGGAAGTGAATGAGCTTACTTGATCCTCAAGAGGGCTGCAGGGATGGAAACTTCAAACATGATCAGGATGCTGTTGTAAGACAAGGCTTATGTATCACTCTTCTATATATGCCTTATATAAGCAGCATTACTAATGTAACAATGGTGAGGTTTGCAGTTACTCTTTATCTGTCACCACCATGAAACATGTATTTATTTAATACGCTTCAGTTATCTATTCAATATACATTCTCCTATGACACAAATATTACCCAGGTTCTTCATTGGATCAAAGAACTTCAACCACAACATTTCATTATCATTGTGGTGGTCTCACAGACAAGGCCGACAGAAAAGCATTGTAGTGAAAGCGACAGTCACAACTAAATGAGAGGGTGAATTCCTGTGCTTCCATTGCTGTTATAAGATTTTTGACTTCTCCACAGAAAGTTCACTGATGAACCTTAGCACTGGAATCACCCCACTTTCAGTGAAGAACTGAAAAAGCAGAACAGTAAGTCCAATAAGTAGGCGATCTTGTGTGTTAGTCTACTTCAAAACCTTCAAGTGATACTTGTCTTAAATGTGAAACCTATAGGCACAGAAATGGTACTGGGAAACCATGATTTCATAATCACTTCAAATCTTGGCGTCAAACCCTGAACCATAGTATTTTAGTTTTGTTTGTTTTTTGTTTAACACTGCAGTCAGCAATATTCCAGCTAAAATCAAGTCTACACCAGACAATCCAGTGATCAACATCATGAGCATTGATCTACCCAATGGGAATACCAAGACATGTGTCAACCAAGCCAGCGAGCCTGACCCCCCAATCCTGTTTGTCACCTCCGACGACAAGCATGGATTGCTGAAGACCAATTTTAACCCATATCTTAATGGGAATATTTGTATGTGCAGTGAGGATGCAGCACTGTACTGGGATTGCAGCCCAAATACCACAGCTCCAAATGTGCCCTCTAGTTGACAGAAATCTCAATACACACATGTCGTAAACACTTCACACGGAAAATTGCACACACTTTCCTATAGCACTTACTTTTATTTTGCCATCACTCCCAACATATACTGTGGATGTGCCAATTCTCGTCAGAAACATAGACTGAAATTTAAATAAAACTAATTGAAAATTTACCATCTCATGTAAACATAAATTGCACTATTGACATTATTGTCCAACAGCATCACAAACAACTAGTGAGTGAGTGAGTTGTGTTTAAGATCGCTTGTAACAGTATTCCTGTTAAATCATAGCACGTCAGCATAATTTGAGTGAGTGAGTTTAGGTTAGTTTTATGCTGCATTTAGCAATATTTCAGCAATATCACAGCAGGGGACACCAGAAATGAGCTTCACAAATTGTATCCACATGGGGACTCGAACCCGGGTCTTCAGCGTGACGAGTGAACACTTTAAACCACAAGGCTACCCCAACGCCCCTTCATAATATGAGAGGAAAGCCTGATGTGATGTTTTAAATTGCAGTCAAGTTAGCATAAAAAGGTGCTGCATATTTGGTGTTTCAAAATATTCAACTTGTGAATTACAACCACTGTCGTAGGTCAGCAGGAAGTTTCTGTCTGTATGTGTGCAGCTGTTAAAATATTTAAATAATTCTTGGAACCATATTGAAGTTCTTGGCTGTTCATGAAATTGGATCTCAAATCAATTGTTGATTCTTGTTTCATTGTTTTGAGGGAGAGGTTTGTTGTCCTTGAATCAAAATGAAATCTTATCACATTTTATTTAATAAATGGGATGAGAATCTAGTGATAATGTCTACAAGAAGAGACTTGAGAGTAGGTGTTAGTCAAGCAGTACTTACTGAGAGGTGAACTTTAAAGCAACCATAGAAATGTGACTGTAAACAGTCCATAAAAGTCTTCACTTCCTCTTCACTGAATTCATTAGTGCTGCTGGTATGTATGCTGAAGCACAAAGTCAAAATAGTTCCAACCAATTAGCAGTACATAATTATCAAATCATCCTGTTATCCAAAGTATCTTAAGAATAAACAAGAGTCATCAGAAGATGACATATCCCCGCCCCCACATATTTGAAATAACAAATCATTTGACAGTTAGTCTAAAATTGTTTCCCATGGAAATCATGAAAAATATAAATGCCAAAAATCTGTAAATAGCAAAAGGCACCACTTCAACATCTGTCTCATAAATCTGCCAGGTTCGGTTGAAGGATTTTGAACAGTTTTCGAGACTAAATCCAGTCGTTTCCATGGAAACTGACTGACTGACTGACTGAGTTTGGTTTTACGCCGCTTTTAGCAATATTCCAGCAATATCACGGCGGGGGGACACCAGAAATGGGCTTCACACATTGTGCCCATGTTGGGATTCGAACCCTGGTCTTCGGCGTGACGAGCCAACGCTTTAACCACTGGGGGTATGCTCCAAAGGATAAAAATCATGTGTGCATGAATAAATGAATGTTCTGTCTGGGTACTGCACAAGGCTGCCTGTTATGTGCAGCTTCTTCACATGGTTGTCAGGTGTCTATGATGCCTACCCGTCCCACAGCCTCTGGCAGTCCTCAGGATCAATACTGTAGGTAATCTTCCTCAGTCCTTCAACCTCTTCCGGCACTGTGTACACGAGTTCCACTGGCTTTTTCTTTAAACCTGAAATTCCATTATTCTGAACATGTGACCTTGCAGACAGTGAACCACAATGCAAATTCTTCCATGAAAACAGCTAAGAATGATAATATTAAATAGGAAATGCATTTCTATGACTTAAATGACACCTTTTGTTTGGTCAAATGAAGACTTTGTTTCTAAATTATCCAATACATTTCTGAGGCATCAGTCCAAATAGCTCTGGTAGTTTGACAACTTAATGAGACTGAATATCCTCATAAAGCCATCAATTTTAAGATCCAAGTTTGGTCTTCAGCAACCTATACTTGTCATAGGAAACTGGATCTGATGATCAGACCCGTAGACTTCATTGACGCATGTCATCCTATCGAAACTGCACGTAAATCACTTGATTGTCTGGTCAATAGTTAATTTATAGACTACCACCATACTGATGGTGGCATTAAACAACAAACAAATGGATAAAAAGAAAGTCATATGTTGAGTTCTTGCCTTTTGATAACCCACTCCACATGGCCACCATCCAGCTGAGGTCAACTGAGGAGAAGGTCAAGGCTGACACTCTACAATCAAATTTGCTCTGAAAAAGACACAAGGTGAGGTGAAATTGGGTTTAACGTCGTGCTTGAGAATATTTCGCTCATGGGACGACGTGCATGCGTGTGTATGTGTAAGCTGGTTTTATAGTGCTAGCTCACTGAGATACCATGCCGCAGTGAAGCATGAACGCCCCACTCAGACATGGTATACTGACTCCGAGCCGACCAGTCCTTGTTGTACCCATTAATGCCTAACGCCAGGCAGGGACCAACAAGTACCATATTTTAACGTCTTTTGGTATGACGCGGCCGGGGATCGAACCCGCGACCTTCCGCTCTCCAGGCGGACGCTCTAACCACTACACCACGGAGGCGGTCAAAAAAGACACAAGCATATCAATGATAACCACAGTTCATGTTCATCTGGGGTCTGCTCTTTGCTCTTCAAAATCACAGCCTGAGAAAAAATAATGTACATGCGTTTCTTGACAGACATTTCAACATTGCTATTAGGGTCATGGATCTTTGTTTAGCTTTGATCCAAGTCTGTACTGATTGATAGTCCATGGATGTATAGTGATTCCATCGGAATTTATGTAGGTTTCCATCATGAATGCCCATGGCAGGCATTTGTCAACTGGAATTTTTCTATTTTTCAGCGACATTTAAACACAGAATTGGAATATAACATTCAATACAGCCATGCAAAAATGAAGGCTATGCGGGACACTTTTTCATCCTGTTATCCATGGACTACAAGTCACCTGAATGAAGACATCACATAAGTTATAACATCATTGAAAAGAGGTTGAAATAACTCAATTCCCAAAAGGAAACTTTGACTGACAATTGCTGCTGATTTGGGGCCAAATATTGGCCTTTGAGCAAGCTTAGATAAATTCCTGTTCTATTCTTCTAATAGCCATGTTTAGATAACCAACAGCAAAATACAAAGGATGCTATTATTTTCCCTTGTAACAGCTGAACTTACTTCCAGCCAGTCTGTGAGGGCCTTACAGAGAGACACTGACCCCTTCACCATAAGGACTGGGTAGTGCTTGAAGTGATCATTGCTGGACGAGACCAAGCTGTCCTCAAGCTCCACCCCGAACATGAACCCTGTGACCAATGTCGTAGGGATATCTGAAACAAAGTCAGGGTACACATTCATCTGCCTGATGTCGTCCCCACCCCCTACACTACCCCCGACACACTCTAACCCGTGAGGGTCCGGGTTAGAATGAACCTTCAGTAACCCATGCTTGTCGTAAGAGGCGACAAACGGGATCGGGTGGTCAGGCTCGCTGACTTGGTTGACACATGTCATCGGTTCCCAATTGCGCAGATCGATGCTCATGCTGCTGCTCACTGGATTGTCTGGTCCAGACTTGATTATTTACAGATCGCCGCCATATAGCTGGAATATTGCTGAGTGCGGCATAAAACTAAACTCACTCACTCTAACCCCATATTCAGGGACAGATGATCCTTGTATCCTTGTGCTGATGGCACTGATAAAATATGTACCCAATGTCTAAATGGAACAGTTTAGAAACCACACTTTTAACCGGACATTGTTCAGTTTTGGATAATGAACTTTTTGAAGGAGTGTGAGTGAGTGGGTTTAGTTTTACACCACTTCTAGCAATATTCCATCAATATCACAGGCGGGTACACCAGAAATGGGCTTCACATACTGTACTCATGTGGGAAATCGAACTGGATCTTCATTGTGACGAGTGAACGCTTTAACCACGAGGCTACCCCACCGCACCTACTTTTGGGAGGAATATTTGGGAGGCTAAACACTACAGCCTGGACTGTGAACGTTGATGTGCTCCTTGTGCACATATTGTATCCAATATACCATGAGTGAATGAGTGAGCATGGTTTAACACCGCTTTTAGCAATATTCCAGCTGTAACATTTACTTAGAGTTTACCTTTCAAAGTTTTTCCAGTGATGAGAATTTGAATGCACTCGGGATCATCTGAAAAAAACATACATTCAATGGAAGTCATTGTATCATAGAGTATGGAATGGACTCTCATATGAAATTTCCCATATTTTGGTATGTTGACATTTAACTCTGATTACATTGTCACTACAGGCATGACTTAAAAACTCAAGATTCTAAATTTTATCACACCTTGGTTGTCTGACAGAATTTGTCATAATTCAGCATGATTCACGCATCAAATAACTAGAATACCAATGGCACTGTTAAGATCGTCATGGTATGAAATGAATAAGTTCCAGTTTCCTTTTTAAAGAGACTTGTGATTATGTTTACTATGAAACCAGTGATACTCGGACTAGCAAGGTGTCACTGTATGTTGATATCCTGTTTCACATTATTCAGGGGTACCACTACACTTGTGCCTCATACTGATACAGGTCACTATACATAACTTGTATCGTCTTCAGGAACATGTGGACCAACTAACAAAAGAGAATGACTGAGTTTAGTTTTACGCCGCGTTTAGCAATATTCCAGCAGGGGCAATCAAACATTGTACCGATGTGGGGAATCGAACCCATGTCTTTGGTGTGACGAGCAACCACTAGGCTACCCCACTGCCAACTAGCAAAAGAATTCTGTTAACCAGTCTGTGTTGTAACAATGTCTCCAATGTAACAACCTGTTTATGTTGCTCACCTGGGCCCACACTGAGCTCTCGATAAGGGCTGATCAGGGATCGCACCAAGTCCTTAGTTTCTGTTATTAAGCTTTTTCTCTGTCGCTGCAAGGCAAGATATGGTATAAGATGATAAATGACACTATTACAATATCAATACACCATCATGAGCTGCTGAACATTGGTCAAACTGAAATAGTCTGAAACCACAAATTAACTATAAACTATTACTTTTTTAGCAGCATTATTAGAGGTTAAATCACTGCTGCATGTCACCTTATGGGGAGGATTGCAGGGCCTGATTACGTCTTTTGGGGAACCTATGTTCACAGGTAGGGCACTGAAAGTCCAAAGATCATGTTCAGTTTCTAACTAAACATAAGCAGATCCCATCTCCAATTCAACTCTGCACTGTAAATTGCTGCACCTTATTCCACTATTCTGAAGCAAGAGTTGAGTAACTTAATCCCGTAAGCCCAGTTAATGATAGTCCATATTAGAAAGCTATTATAATCTAACATAGCCTTACAACAGACCCAGCACTAAGTTCACTTTGAACAGTATGTGATTACCCTTATAAGGGTAACGCTATTTTGCAGGGCAATATCATTTGCAGAAGCCTGAGGTCTTTCATTAACTGCCTGACGAAAGAGGGCAGTTGAAAAGACCGAGGACTTCTGCAAATGATAATGCTCTGAAAAATAGCGTTACCGTTATTAAAGATAAAATGGATGGATTTATTATAAAATAAAAACAAACAACGCTACCAGTTTTGAAGCATTTACTGCTAACAACAAACGACGGAGGTCACTGACACACTTTTTACGAATATGGAAACGTCATAGAACAAAACAGATGATGTCACTATTGAGAGTGACGACATTCGACCTTGACCTTGCCCCACACTACCAGCCACAATTTTTCCCAGCGCTCAACAACGTTAGAGTTCCAGTCGATGTTTTCATTGCTGCATATTGTAATTTATGGTACAATTGTTAAGGTTGGCACCGGCAAGAAAGTGCATAATGGCACAGGTACATGTGACAAATGTGAGTCAGAAATATCATCAAACATGAACCCAACTTCAAACGAGCCATAGGTGATTGAACATCAAGAGCTGAGCTCCTTATGACATCACCTAACAACGGGTGTGATAATGGCCCGTCGTCAAGCAATTTGGGGGCATTATCAAGTTACAGTGGCCCACTCATTTCTGAGCCCACTCGTTTTAATGATAATTCTATCCATTTTAGCTATAAGCTACATTATGTGAAATACAGAACACTTTGCCCTCTTACCTCGCCTACTAAAACTGAGAGAGAAGTTCCATATCTCCTCAAATGACTTGACGTAGGTGTGAAGTTGTACAAGGGAGATAACCGATACAGCTTCCATGTCTTGTTCACAAGACCTGTAGTTGGAGTTTCATTATAAGAATGCAAAGAGTTTCATCAGAAAGAGACCACATAGCTGGAAAATTACTGAGTGAAGCGTTAAACAACAAACAAACAAACGATCATAAAGAATTTCTGTGTATTCTATGAAGACAAAATGAATGCTAGAAACAACATGGGATAAATATGAAATTTTTCTTAAAAAAAGTTAATTTACTATTATATCTACAATTCTGACATCTTTTAAGGTCATTTGAAATAACACGTAAATGTTAGAGGTGTGACGATACGGAAATGTCACGATACAATACGTATCGCGATATCTTGGAATGATACGATTCGATTCGATGCATATCACGATATGCTATCTTTGGTTATTTTCTTTAAATAAGTATATTTTGATAGCAAGTAACAGTGTAAATTTTTACATAAACGTCGATTTCTAGTGAACATTAACAATTTTAAGGTCAACGATTCGTATCACGATAGTAACAAAAGTATCGATATATTTATCGTCAGATAAGGTATCACGATTATCAAGCTACGATATATCGTCACAGCTCTAGTAAATGTGGAAATATTTGTACCAGAATTTAACAGAAAAGACAATGATCAATCAGAAATTTGGGCAAGCTGTTTCCCGAACAGGAACAATTTTTATGGATAGACAACATCTTTATTGCAATGGATGCAACGTTTCAGTGTAGATGCTAACACCATTAGCAAGTTATAACAGTGTTAACATCTACACCGAAACGTCGCATCCATTGCAGTAAAGAAGTTGTCTATCCATAAAAAGCATTCCTGTTCATCTTTCCAGCTTCTACATGCCACTCAAAGAAGAAAGTTGTTTCCTTTCTGTTACACACTGATATGCCTACCAGGAGTTGTTCCTAATATGTGTGCCTCATGACAGGTGACACAGGTGGACAATACAATCAGACATGGTGACAATGTAGCCAAAAGTACAGTAAGGCATTTTCACAAAGTTACCTTTAAAGCTTGGAGCGTGTCTTGTGGAGGGGGGCGTCTTTTCTAACAGTGCAGACTTTGAGCCTAGAAACAAACATTTCAGATGTAAACAGGCACAAACGGAGCACTACTAATGTTTACAATTTCAGAATCCTTTCAGTTCTTTTAGTAGTTAATCAATGTAAACAACACAGTGACCCAAATGGATCTCTCAACTTTATCAACAGTAGATCTGTCTGAGGGTCCTTTGAATTTTAAAACCTTAACACAGGGATTTACCTGGGCCTCTCTATTTTGGCCCATAAAATTGTCAATATATTTGTTACATGGCATGAATATGGTCGCCTTAGCTATCGTGATAAGGCATGTTTCATTTGATTTTCCTCATCTCATTTCCTTATATACGCTCTAAAGTTTGACTGAAGATAATCAACCTCTGATACTCTTAACATTGAATGTACAATAGAAACATCATTTATAGGTAATATGCTACAAACAACTTTGATCACTGTTATTTGAGTTAAGCAGCCAAATGCCTCTTTACCCCCAAGACTCACAATGTAAAGTATTTGCAGCGATGAAAGTTATGAAATAGAAACACTTAAATCCCTGTTGGACTGCTAAGGAGGAAAATACCATCCCACTGACCTTGGAGGCCAAGGCGTCGGCTCCGGGGAGTCTTGCGGTATGGAGTATTCCTTCTTGTGCTGCATCCAGTCCTCCCACTGTACTGACCCCACACACCTGGCTGGGGGTTTGGTCAATGGTTGAAGGAGGGTCACCATCCATTGTCAACTCATCTCACATACCTGAAGAATCAAGAAAAAGTGAAGACAGATTAGCCTCAATCACAGTGGAGACATGCTGAATATACAAACATTTGTTTCTACCATACAGAAAGGGAATATTTTTTGTCATATGCCTTCATTCTAGGATATTATATCTCCATTTTATTGATATGGACAAATACTTTTGAATCTTCTATATTGACAATGGAAAAATGTCAAGTCGATGCAAGCATGTTACCGACAGGATATAGATTGTGCTGTTACTTTCCAATCAAAAGTAGCAATTAATAGGGGTGAAGCGGTATACTGCGGTATTAGCAGAACCGCTGTATTTTGATTTGGTAAATAAAATGCAATCAAAAAACAAATTTTCGGTTTATACCCTTTAATAAAGCTTCTCCAAAATAAAACTACTTTACCATTGCACGATTTTACATACCGCGAAACTCTTATCAATAGTTCCATCTACCGTGGAACTTTTTCACCGCTAGTAAAATGCTGCAATTATAACAATTTTGCCCTAGTATTTGGCACCACAATAAATTGTTTGTTGTTGGGGTCACCATTTTACAACAGACTCAGCAAAACTTAATTTGGCTTCTAATGTGTAATAAACGGAAATATCCGAAGATTTTCGATTGTTAAACGAGCATGACTTTCGAATGCATGTAAGAGTATTTAAATACTGATTTACTCATTTGTTTCAAATAGTAGTGGTGGGAATCGGTTGTGATCGTCTTTCATGTCTGAACCGGTATATATTAATAAACCAGTTAAATTGCGCAGCCCTACTGAATATACAAACATTTGTTTCTACCATACAGAAAGGGCATATACATTTATTAACATTTTTTGTCATATGCCAGTGACTGACTAGAAAAGTGAATGAAAAACATTCCACCAAGGGGAATGAAACCATCCACTCAAAACTTTTGCATCTGGGTACTACTGATACGTAAACATGGATCTGTAAATAAAGGCGTTATTCACTGAGGGAAAAGCACAAGAAGTGACTGTCTGCTCGCTTTACCTCGAAAATTGAGTATCATGTATTCAAACTCATTAAATCGATTATAAAAACCAATCAATTTTCGATTATAATCGATCATAGGAACACCACTACCAAATAGGCAGCCATATAACAAACACATTAGCAGATATCAGGACAAATTATTGCAAACTTTGTAAGTAACGTTTGAACAGATTATTGCAAACTTTGTAAAATGAATTGAAATATGAACTCCTATTTGGATAGGGATGTGTTACATACATGGGTGTGTACATGTGCTTCTAGTGTGTCTCAATAAAAAAACATAAGAGTAGAAAACTAACAAACTGATGTTTGTTTCAATTTGACATTTGCCCGCATGGCAGCATGATTTCATTTGCATAAAAAGTTGGGGGTTGTTCTGATCCTGTTGCCTTTTGGTGCTCGTCCGATATTATTTGTACAGGGTACACATTTATTTGGTTTATGTTTTGGGCTTTTAAACAGAATTGCCGTCAAAACAAAATCGATCAATGGGCTAAGATTAGAAAGCTGAAAAAACATAGTGGCGAAATCGAATTATCAAAAACACAAATAAAGACACCACCCAAAGATAGTACTGATTAATACACTAATTCCCATCGGTAGGTTTCATATGACATACATTGAAAAATTGTTCATCAACTTTGTGCGGATATGAACTGTTGTACAGGTATGTGACAGCAAAAATTATGATAATGACTCTGTGATAATAGACGACAACGTGTGATCGAAATGTGAACAATAACAGCACTTGGCGGTTATTGGTTCAGAAGTCTTGCATAGTCTTGTCATCCAGTCAAAAGAAAATAATTGTTGACTCATTGATACGTAACAGAGTCTCATAATAATAGAGAGTTGATGCTAAAATTAAAAACTGACTTCATTACGAAACCAGTTGAATTATCCCATAGTCCCTGCCATTTTCTTTGAATAAGCCCGCTTGAATGTTGCGTGGTTTGATTGGTTAAAAAATAAATATAAATATCCGCAAAGAGTTTGAAGTTACTTCTTTGGTGGAACATACAAAGCAACGACAAGAGAATACAGCAAATGATGACTAAAGTATAGAATAATTTTGTCTCACTGAACAAAGTTGTCTTATACCTGTCAACTATTTGCTGCTGACTCGCTGTTACTGCGATCCTTCACTCAACATGGAGGACGATCCAGAAGCTGAGTTTAGGAAAGTCGTCGTTCCCGGCACATTTCCCATTAAAATAACGAAATGGAAAGTCAGGAAGGGGACTACTATTTCAAAGGGTGTGGTGCTTGCATTGTACGATGTGCTGAATCCGCAGTCATTGCAGAAAAATGTGAAATTAAAGTCAACCGGCGGCGGTATTGTTCAGTCCGTGGAAGTTGAAGAGGAAAAAGAAGTAAACCCTGGGTATGGTCACTGTCATTAAAGCAATTAAACAATCATTCCTGATTTCATACCTCAGACACGTTGATAAAAGGTTTGGGAGTACTGGTTACCGGGCGCACTTTTTCAGATTAATTAGCGCTGCTGGGGTTACCCCTAACCCTAAGGATCGTAAAGGGTGCCTAACCTAAGGATCTAAACCCTAACCCTAAGGATAGTAAAGGGTGCATAACCCTAAACCCTAACCCTAAGGATCGTAAAGGGTGGCTAACCCTAAACCCTAAACCCTAACCCTAAGGATCGTAAAGGAAGCAGCGAGGGCTGCGCCCGGTAAAGTGCATTCTAGCCAAAGGTTAAGTTTACATTTATAACTGGAAACTCCTGTTCACTTTGTGCACGTTAATTATCAATTATTGTCCCACATTATTCTCGTCAGGAGACCACCTCCGTGGTGTAGTGGTTAGAGCGTCCGCCTGGAGAGCGGAAGGTCGCGGGTTCGATCCCGATCGCGTCATACCAAAAGACGTTAAAATATGGTACTTGTTGGTCCCTGCTTGGCGCCCGGCATTAATGGGTTCCAACAAGGACTGTTCAGCTCGGAGTCAGTATAATGTGTCTGAGTAGGGTATTCATGCTTCACTGCGGCATGGTATCTCAGTGGGCTAGCACTATAAAACCAGCTTCAGTCTGGGCTAGTACAAGCAGTCGCACATACACACGCATGCATCATATGAGCGAAATATTCTCAAACACGACGTTAAACCCAATTTCAGTAATTTTCACCTCACTCACCTCGTCAGGCTCGTGTTTTGGGTTTTCGGAAGTTTAGGAACATCTCAGTCATCTGTTCTCTCAATCATCGCATGAATAATTATACATCATGTCACTAACTCATAAAAGACAACTTTATCTTATAGACAGCTTAACTTGGTATTTTGAAACACAAGCCACCATCCGAATATTTACAAAGTCTATTTGATGCAATACTACTCGTAATAGCGAGAGGAAACTTATATTTTGAAAATATTGACATTGTATATTTTGGTTATTATTTTTTGGGGAAATATTTCCACCCGTAACCCCCAGTTGTTGTTTTTTATCCTTCAATGGCTATGAATAGATGTTGCTTTTTTTTTGCTTTTTTTAATATATAAAACCCCTAACCCTGAAGGGTTGTAGCCAAAAGGGCCAAAGGCCTTTTTGACTTTTCTTTGGCCCTTTTGATTTTTCCAGTTTTGGCCCTTTTGTCATTTTGACCTGTTCCCACCCTGAACCTAATCCTAAACCATAACCCTAAACCCAAACCCTAACCCCTTGAAATAATCTAAAAAAATTGAATACTTTCATACACATATTCTTTTGACCCTTAGACCATTGTTTGAAATAAGACTCTGCTGAACATGCTGAAAATGATAAAATTTGGAACAGGTCTGAAGGTATTTGTATATTTCAAAGTTTGACAAGTTACTTTATCACAGCTAATTTGTTTAGTGACAACAGAAGATTTTATCAAGACGGTTAAAAGACAGAAAAAGACATATTTCATACATACTGAACAAAATTATTGCTCTTTTTACAGGATGCTTTGCTATATGACATATATGTATTGTTTCCATTAGTAAAATATCACCGTCATGACATTTATCAATGGGTTCAAATGATGTTAAGGTTACATAAAACCCAGTGCTGTTTTAGTGAGTGAGTGAGTTTAGTTTTAACGCCGCACTCACAGAGTTGTTTTAAGTGGCATCAATATTGTGGTTGGTAAGGTTCATATCAGAAAAATACCTATATCCTAAATCATATAAAAGGTTATTGATATGAATTGTGGGAAACTGGAAAGTCTGAAATAATTAGTTTAATTTGTGCTCATTCCTGTAAGAACATAGAGATTTTACTAACCACTTGACATGGGTAGCGTTGTCAGAAAATGTATTGATGAGTTTCTGAAAATATTTTTATTGTGCTGGTTTCAAGATGAAGAAAATACCCAGTGTTTCTTTTATGTAGGTCCTTGTTGCTGATATTTGGCAACTCAACTGTGGAGCCATGCAGCCATCCCACCGTTATGAAGGACATGTGCGCCATGTGTGGAGCTGACTTGAGGAGGTACTGCCACTGTACAGGCCTGTTAACAAAGTGATCTTAGTGCTAGTGAACTAACTCATCTCATTTATTACATCTCCTGGTTAGAATCAGTCATAAGCAACCTAAACTAATAGTTTGATCGGCATTCTTGAAGTTGGGGAGTCAAACATGAAAAATACAACTTTATGGATCACAACTTCAACCTGTTTGTTGCATGCAAGAAGTTGTCATCCATAAAGTTGTATGTTTCATTTTCAACCTAAACTGGTTGTAAAAATTGACTAAATGGATCAGGCTGCATGATTTGGCTGATTGTGTGTCATTTTTTATTTAAAACATCACGCTACGCGTTCAGTTTTAAATCAGATTTAGAGCTATTATAATTTTGTTATGTTCATCTGATTTTCCCACACAGTATGTTTATCTCCTAATTATTACCTTCCTGTAATCCTAGTAATGTCATTTGGACTTCAGTTTTGAAAGATTCTTTTGCATGTTATAATGCATCTAAATAATAAGTAAATATGATATATTTAATGAATTTGGTAACACCAGTACATCATATTACAGATGATCAGTAGAAGTGTTATATCAGTATTATTTTCTATATTAGTCACGTAACAGAACAATTGATCATGACGGGTAAATAGTATTCATATTATAAAAATCTCATGTTAGATATTTAAGGGGTGTTGAGGTAGCGTAACGTTTCAAACATTCACTCATCGTGCCGAAGACCAGGTTCAATGTTGGTGTGAATGTGTGAAGCCATTTCTGGTGTCCCCCACCATGATCTTGCTGGAATATTACTAAAAATGGCATAAAACTCACTTAAGACAATTTTCTTTTCTTGTTTCAATTCAAATAGATCTTGGCAATATGAGAGGAATTCATGCAGTAGCCATTCACCTCCTTTATGATGAAATGAATTTGTACTGTATGTAGACTATTAGTGCTTTATTGTATGCTTATTATTGTGTTGTTAGCCCTGACATAATGTATGTTTGCAGTGAACTGGGCATGGCAGGTGAAAGAAAGGAAACAGTGGCAGCTTCAGTGGCAATGGTGCACAGCATACCTGAACTCATTATTAGCGAACAGGTAGTCACATGATTTTCAACATTTTGAAGGTATAGCATAGTGGAACCAGTACTTCCAGAAGCAAGATGAATTGCAACATTGGAAATGTAGTAGTTTAATCTGTAGATGTATCTTTCAAGCAGTTTGAATGATTTGTTTATTGATGTTCCATTTATTGGGGTGAATTTTGTCATCCATGGTTACACTCTATAGCAATCAACTCATCATTTTTAAGATGCTTTCACTGTCAGTGTTTGCGTTTGCGTATAATACAGTGTGAGAGATAGCATGACACATTGTGGAAGTTTTTTAACGTCTGTATTTTATGTCCTTTTAAGAAAAATCATTTGTACAAGATTGTGTTCAGTACCATGACAACAATCAGTCAGTTTACCTTATTAAGTTGAGCATGTGTGAAGATCTGGCTCCTATTTTCAGCAAGCCTTGGAACTAGGCCAGGAGGATGAGAACCGTCTCCTGAAGACCCGCAAACTGGTTCTTCTGGTGGACCTTGATCAAACTCTTATACACACCACCAATGATAACATTCCAGCCAACCTCAAGGTGGGTTATCTCCCTTCGTCAGTGCATGTTTCATGTCAAGTTTCATTGCTGGGCTACTATAGAAGTTCCATTGGTGTCTCAAAGATCCACTGACATCACCAACATTGTTCATTGAATATTTGAAGTTTAAACAACAGTAACTGAAGAGGACAAATCAGTGATCCATACATTTTGATAGTGACAGGAATAACATTGCGATGGGTGAATGAGTGAGTTCAGTTTAAAGCCTCTTTGTCATGCTGTTGATCACTGGAATGTCTGGTCTAGACTCGATTATTTACAGACCGCTGCCATAAATCTGAAATATTGCTGAGTGCCGCGTAAAACTAAACTCTCTCACTCACTAAAGCCTCTTTGAACAGGTTTCCTGTTACGTCAGCCTGTTGTGAGAGGAAATCCTAATGTGAGGTTAATACTTGTTTGATAGTGAGGATCTTAGTTTTGATTTACTGTATGCTCAGATTTATTGAGTTTTTTGTCATTTTTTCTCATTGTAAGAATTATTGCTAAGTGGAACTTTGTCCCATTATGAATTAATCTGGCTGGCTCGTTTCACCAATAGTTGGTTGAGGCACAGTTGTTGTTTTGCGTTGTATGAGAGGTATGATCGCTGTGTGAAACAGTACCCTGTACCTAAAATGTTTATTTACAGGGTGTCAGTCACTTCCAACTATGGCATGGACGAAACTTGCTGTGGTATCACACACGGTTCCGGCCACACACCAGGGAGTTCCTGGAGAAGATTTCAAAGATGTATGAGCTCCACATCTGCACCTTTGGTGTGAGAATGTATGCACACACCATCGCCCGCCTCCTCGACCCGGATGAGAGGTTCTTCTCCCACCGAATACTTTCAAGGGACGAGTGTTTTAATGCTATGTCCAAAACTGCTAATCTCAAGTAAGTTATTGTCAGGCTGTGATGAGCACAGGCTGGTACAGTCCCTGCCTTCTAACATGGAAGTAGATTCTCAGTATTGTTATCATGAACATGACACCGTAGGGTGAGTGAGTGAGTTTAGTTTTACGCCACACTCAGCAATATTCCAGCTATATGGCGGCGGTCTGTTAATAATCGAGTCTGGACCAGACAATCCAGTGATCAACCGCATGAGCATCGATCTACGCAATTGGGATACAATGACGTGTCAACCAAGCCAGCGAGCCTGACCACTGGATCCCGTTGGTCGCCTCTAACACCGTAGGGCTTCCAGATCCTCACCTACATAAGTTGGTCATAAGATGACCAAATCAAAAGGTTGGATTGCTTGATTGAATATGTTTCACTGTCATCTGATGGCATCTCAATCATTGAATTGTCAAGTCCACGCTCGATTATAGATAGATCTTGCAGAGGCCATACTGTGAGTCATCTGACAGCTCTCTCCTGAACCTATGTACCTGTAAACATCTCAGTGGTGTAAGGATGCATATATATCACTGTTCTTCATTTTCAGAGCACTGTTTCCCTGTGGGGATTCCATGGTGTGCATCATCGATGATCGGGAAGATGTCTGGAACTTCTCACCAAACCTCATACATGTAAAGCCTTACAGATTTTTCCAAGGAACTGCTGATATTAATGCACCACAAGGACTTACAAAGACTGAGAATGATGGCATTCCTATAACCCACCGAGTACGGAGGGCCTCCGATTCTCAGGATGAACAAAAGGCAAAGACTGAAACTGCAGGGGATAAAAGTGCTGAAGTTGATATGAAAGAGGTGACTGACAATGAGACCAGCAGTGCGATACAGGTTAATGGAACTGTCCAGGAGCCTCACGCAGAAGGTAAATCTGACACTAATGACAATACGCACAAGGTAGTGTGTCAGGATGAAAGCAACGAACAGAAAGGCCCTGAATCTTTGACATCAGCTGTAATGGACTCCAAAGAAAACACACAATCACTAATTAAAGAAGCCAGTACAGAAGCCAGTACTGACTCTAATGTAAAACCCCCAGTATCAGTCAGTGATGATCCTACAGATTCCACAGTAAAGCCCATGTCACTCAGTGATGAGGCAGCTGATCCAAAGATCAAATCTGAAGTACCTAATGATGACTCGGCTGACTCCACAATTCCTTCCAAAGTACCAAATGATGAATCGGCCGACTCCACGATACCTCCCAAAGCACCAAATGATGAATCAGCTGACCCAATGACACCTGCTATAGTACCAAATGATGAATCGGCTGACCCAACGATACCCCCTAAAGTACCTGGTGACGATGCAACCAGAAAACCAGATTCACAATCTGGATGTCAAAATGCCTTGACTGATAATACAGAAATTGGCAAGGAGAGCCCTGGAGATGGACTCTCTGATTCTGGGGATACAAAGTCAGGTCACAAGGAATATACAAAGAGAGTAAAGAGTGTCGGCTTTAAGGTTGATGATGATGAAGAGATCGAGTGGGACGATGAGGATGACTACCTGTATCATCTGGAGGAGGTCCTCACCAGAATACACACAGCTTTCTATGACTTATATGACCAAACTATTAAGAATAAAGTGTCCGATTCCAAACTTCCAAATCTGAAAGATATCATTCCTTATGTTAAACGGAAGGTGCTTAAAGGTTGCAGCATTGTGTTTAGTGGTGTTGTGCCTCTTAATATGCAGCCCGAGAGGAGTCGTGCGTATGTTGTTGCTCGTGCTTTGGGAGCAAACATTCAGAGTTCAATTGTTGCCAGAAACGGAGATAAGAAACCTGAAGGAACAACTCATTTAGTGGCAGCAAAGCCAGGAACAGCAAAGGTGAATGCAGCTTATAAGGTGAAAGGTGTGAAAATTGTGAATGTGAACTGGTTATGGTCATGTGCTGAACGGTGGGAGAGGGTTGAAGAGAAGCTGTTCCCACTCGAAGACCCAGCAACCTCAATTTCTTGTCCATGGGTTTCTCGTGATGATAGACAATCTGATCATACTACCTCGAACCCAAATAAGAGGAAATCGGAAGATGTAAATGAAGACTTGGAGTCATCTGATACTCCAGAAGTGAGAACAAACAGATCCAAGAAGGCCAGATTAAAAGAGGTCGAAGGAGATAATGTGTTTGGTCCAAGTACAAGTGGTAGTGGTGCTGTGGCAGGACCTTCAACTGAAGCTGCAGGACCACGGAGGAGAGGCAACAAAGAAAACACCCCTTTTTCTTCCTCCTATAATCCCTCTGTTATCATTCTCAGATGAAGACATTGAATTCATGGACAAAGAGGTGGAGGAGACTATGGAAGAGGATGGAAGTGACTCTGAAGAAGAGGATGAAGAAGATCGCGAAGAGAGGCTACGAAAGTCAGTTCTTGGAGATGTTTCCGATTCCAGTAGTGAGGAGAGTCTAGCAGGCGACTTCCCTCGAGGTTGGAACATCAGGAAGCGTTCCCCATCGGGGGACAGTGATGAAGAGAAGAAGAAAACTCCCGTGGATGAAGTCCCTGAGTCTGATACAGAGTTAGAAAGTTATGAGAAAACTGTTGAAGCATTTTCTCCAGAAAAAGATGTGTCAAGTGAATCTGGAGAGTCTATTGGATCTGTGGATGATGAGATCGCTGATGCTGTAGAGAAGGAATTCCTCTCCTTGTTATAATCATTTCAACTCCATCCGTCTTACACATGCCATCCAGCTACAGGGAGGTTGATGCTCAAACACTTTTGTCATTTATAACTTCTTGACAGGACAGGAATCATTCTCTTCCCACAGAGGTTACTCCTGTCATATCTTCCTACGTAACCTCTGTTCTAATACGGCCCTTTCATGGTGTGAGCGTTCAAGACTCGTGATTTGAGGCAATCAGCTTTAGTTGTGCAATCAGCGACGTTGTTTCAAAAGTGATCATTCGCAAGGCCTCGGTAATTTCCGTATACTTCGAGAAAACTAAACCTCTTGCCCTGCGCGATGCGCAAACGTTTCTTCTAGACAGAACTCAGTCATGTTATGGCGGATCAGTGGCGTCTCCATCGCCCTCGTTGACAACGGACAAGCTAGCCATTAAACGTCATGTGTGTAACATCAACACAAGTCCCCGGCAGATGGGGGATATTTGTGGCCTCACATTTGTAACACGTGTTCTGATTGGATAGAAAGAAGGGAGATAATTCGTGTTGCGATCTTTTGCCGCTAGGGGATTTTACGAGAACCAGGAAATATGGCCGTATTAGAACAGAGGTTCGTAGGAAGATATGACAAGTAACCTCTGTGGGAAGAGAATGGACAGGAATGTGAATGGCACAAAAACTAAAATGTACATGTTATATTTTGGACTAAATTTCACTAAGATTATTTTCGAGAAGGTTGGATGTCAGTTAGCCCAGTATGTAGATGCATGACTTGTCACTCCACAGAACTGATATGTGTGCCAACTTTGATACATTGTGTGGAGCCAGTTCTTGATGTCACGTACTCTGATGAAACTGGCATATTGCTAAATACCTTGAAAACTTCACTAACACTTAAGGTGATCAAATCGATGAAAAGTGTTGAGTTCAAGTTTCATTCTGGTAATTTGGATTCATGCCATCTGCCATGATCATGCACATTGTAAAATGTGTATAATTACATTCATCATTTGTTGTGGTTTATGTAAAACCAGTATTCCCAGCACAAAGAACAAACCCAGTTGTACTGAACATGCTGAAATCATCTATGGGATTCACATTGTGAGTTGGTGAGATATCCCATCGTGTGGTTAAAAGGACATTGCAGAAATGTGTGCTTCCCTTCACCTTGTTCATCTTGTTGGTTGTTTTGTCAGTGGTGGTTATATCTGTGCTCATGCACCTGTTCTCATGTTAGGAGCGGTGGGGTAGCCTGGTGGTTAAAGTGTTTGCTTGTCATGCTGAAGACTGGGTTCGATTCCCTACATGGGTACAATGTGTGAAGCCCATTTCTGGTGTCCCTGCTGTGATATTGCTGGAGTATTGCTAAAAGCAGCATAAAACCCAACTAACTCACTCACTCACTCACTCACTCACTGACTTTTGTCATGGTAAGTCATCAACTTAAAGTTACCTGTTCATCTGTAGAGGATATGTTCTATACATTTACAAGGTTTGACCACAGATCATTTGATCTGAGATAGTTTTAGAATTTCAACAATATAAAGTTGTTAAATTTTTTTTTTTTTTCTTGGAAACACCTTTTTAAAGAGATATATCAGTTCATTAAAAATGAGTTGGAAAGGTGAATTAGATGACATATTACACTTGTAATAAATTCATCAGTTGTTTCAGCACGTGAAGATAGCTTTGGCTGTCCATATTTTTTTAAGTTTCCCATCTTCAGCTAGCCCAGAATTGTCATTCCAAAGTGAAATCATATACATTTTCTTTTCATAATTCTCCCCTCTGTTGTGTACATATTTGCCCTGATGTTATTAAAGATACTCTTACTGTTACCCTTGCATGCTAAAAAATATCCAGATCAGCTTGCCAACCACTATCTTGTTGGTTGATGTTGGAGATGAGAAACACAAGAAAATATGTCTGGCGTTAAAAGCTTCAAGGAATAACAGAAATGTGTTATTTCTTTCTCTTCTATGTAAATAGTCCATTGTCATGATTGTCTGTTAAGCATTTTGAAAGGCAGCTTTATTTGTCAAGTCATGTTCCCGTCTCTGCTTGGAGTGTACATACATGTATATTGAATACCACATATTTTTATATTGTCATATTCTTATGTCATATTCATATAGGGACCGTTCATAATTTATGGCTGGGTGGGGGTGGGGTGATTATGATGTTATGTAATTTTCCTACACACGTCCTAGGTGGGTCAGCAATATTGTACATAAAACCATATGTTTAAAATTATGCTTAGAAATTATGGGAAGGGGAGGTGGGTCATTTGGTACATGATATGAAGGGTGGGGTGGGGGCACTTATTATGTACATAAATTGGGGAAGCACTAACATTGTACATGCTTCTCCATAAAAATCATCATCACACCCCCTAGCCATATATTATGGACGGTCCCTTATATAGAATGTTTTGCCATGACAAGAGACATGCCAGAATTGCAATTAATCATAGTACGGTGTTAAGATAATATCGTTGGTTTGGAATGAGAGATATTTTTCCCCTTTGACAGTTATTGCATTTAAGAACTACGTATTTGTTAATTTTTCAGCTAAAATGGAATATTCTTAAGATGGCCCTTCATTTCCTATGAAATACTGTATGTATGAAACCCAGTTTTTTCATCATGGTCAGTAGGAACTATTTGCCACAGTCTGTTACATCAACATCGTGATTGGTGCCATGTTTGAAACTGACACGTCTCTGAGTAAGATTGTTAAATCTTGAGATTGATACACATTACTAATAATAATGGATATATAGCATCTTGTATCCATCAATAGGAGCTCAGTGGCGCTTTGACAAAATCAGAAAAGTCAAGGAACATATGTACAGACAAAATCCATAGAGTGTACTGAAAGTCAGTGTGAAAGAGGTGAGTTTTGAGGAGACACTTGAAATCCTCCTTGGATATAGTGGGCCTTAATTCTGAAGGTGGAGAGTTCCAGAACATATGACTGCAAACAGAAAAGGTGCAATCAAAAATCAGAGGTGGATAGAAGCTGACTGAGGTGGTTGAGTTTGAGTGACATAGATAAGGAAAGTGGTGTTTTAATGACTTGTATCAAGTTTGCTGGGACTTGTAATAAGGCCTAGTACTCCTTCCATTAGCAGTTGCTGACATCATTTTCTGCTGCTTATTTCAGTTTGTCTGCATGACCTGACCTGACCTGACCTGACCTGACATTCCTATCCATAACCACATTATTAAACAATCTCATTGTACTTATTTGGACTTAAGTGCATCTGTCCATTAGATCTTACCACCAAGTCATCTAAAACTTAATACCTTGATCTCTCTTCTGCAGTGGGTATTGGTTATCACAGTTTCTGCTTAAATTGCTATAATGGTCTAGAATAGTGTAGGATCATTTTTTTAGAGCCCTGGCATGGCAGAGTAGGAAAGATATTCAGTCTTCTCTCTTTCTTCACTGGCTTTTGCAAAGTGGGAAACATGTTAAGACTACTTATCTCTGGGATCACCTCCCATTTAGCTGACATAACTGGACACATGGTCAAAGGGGCACACATGTTCACTGCGAATAGCTGCAAAATTGCTGATGCAGCTTTAAGCAGTACTCGCTCGCTCACTCACTCACTCCAATTCATGTCTCCAACATTTGCCTAAGAGCATGTTGTACATACTGTAGGCAATTTTGTGGATTCTTCCAGCAGCATATAATAAAGCGCACATGAATTCATTAAGAATCAATCTGTGATATATATTGTATTTAATTGCAGAGACATTTTTTTAAAGAACAAACCCATGAAGATCCGGGTAAGAACTGGTCTTCAGCAACCCATGCTTGATCAGGTGGTCAGACTCGCTGACTTGGTTGACACATGACATCGTATCCCAATTACGTAGATCAATGCTCATGCTGTTGATCACTGGATTGTCTGGTCCAGACTATTATTTACAGACCGCCACCATATAGCTGAAATACTGCTGAGTGTGGCGTTCAACAACAAACAAACCAAACTAAATCTTTAAAGAACAAGCCAAGTCACAACATTGGTGAGTTGTGACTAGATTGACATGTGGCTCGCTATGTTATTAGTTATAACTTCTCCAGACACCAGGTTCATTTTTCACTCACTCACACAATCAATCAATCACATTTTTTGTTTTTTTCGAGGATGGGAGTTCAGATTAAATCCGAAGACATTTATGGCATGTTGTGGCATACATCAAGTTGCCAACAGAGAAGACTAGTGTTTAATACCATATCACAAGTATATCCTCCCTACAGCAAGAATATATTGTACATACATTTGTATAGCCTTTCCATTTCTGACTACATCTAGTATATTATATTTGAAAAGTTGCAATGATGTATAGTTGTTAGAATTTTTAGTGCTGTTACTTGTTAAATTTGTTGAATAAAATTTACTAAAATATATATCTATATTTTACTAAGGTATTATTACATTGCCTTCACTGTGAAACCCCTGAAGATCCGGGTTAGAATTGGTCTTCAGCAAACCATGCTTATCATAAGAAGCGTCTAACAGGATCGGGTGGTCAGGCTTGCTGACTTGGTTGACACATGTCATCGTATCCTAATTGTGGTATTCAAGAATAACAAACCTTCACTGTGAACCGAAGAGAGCTTATGTCATAGTCCTGTCAACAGTGTCTTGGGTGAAACCGCTGAGTTAATGAAGCTGGAAAGAGGCTTGAATGTGTTCCCTGAATTTGTTCACAATGCCCAAGTCCTATTGTCAGAAGTGGCGGTGGGCTTGCCTAGTAGATGAAGCGTTCGCTCATCACGCGGACGACCAGTGCTCTATTTCCCACATGGGTACAATGTGTGAAGCCCATTTCTGGGGATCGTTAAACAAATAGAGAATAAGCCATGAGAAATGGCGGATTTTCTGTCCGAATTCAGGGCGGTGGGGTGGGTGTCCTTGTGGATAAAGCGTTCGCTCATCACGCTGAAGACCAGGTTCGATTCCCCAAGCGGGTAAGTCTCTGAAGCCTGTTTCTAGTGTCCCCCGTCGTGATATTACTGGTATGTACATTGATAGTTGCGGTGTAAAACCATACTCACCCACTGTCCAGAGTGAATGAATAGCATGTCTCTCGCGTTGGAGTACAGAAT